AGATAAGAAAAGAAGAAGTTAATTAAGCGGTTAGCCATGACGAATTGTGAAAAATTAAGTTAATTTATATTCAACTTCGATCCGGAATTTTGTGAATATAAATAAAATTAGAGTCATGAAAGTCAAAATATGAAAGTGAATTATTTGATTTAGGAAAATTTGACAGAATAGAATAATTGAATTGAGCATTGGATGAATAACATAATTCGGCGAATAATTCGAAGAAGTATTCAACTCGAAAAATTCAAATTAAATAAGAAAATAAAATAGGAGGTCCAATAAGAGTATTCATAGTAGAATGACTCGAATATTGAAATTATTCGAATTGGAAAAGGGGGAAAGAAAGTAAGAGGTGTAGAGATAAAACAAATTAAAGGGAAAGGAGGAGGGTAAAGGAATGATCAATGGAATAGGAAAGGAGAAGAAGGAATGAATAGTGCAAAAATAAAGGTGATAAGAAAGGATTGATAAAATTAGACAGAACACGAAGGGTCGAAATAGAGGGCGTGAATTGAAAAAGAAAAATACGAATTTAGTTATATTTTAGCTATTAAAAATTATAAATATTCTTTGTTCTTCATCTTAATTAGTCACAATTATTTATCATTTAAGTTATATTTTCACAGCTATATTTTATAAAATTTATTTTCAAGATCCGAAGTAATAATGGTATTATTTAATTAGGAATTTTATATTATATTTTTACTATATAGTTATTAATAATTATTAACCATTAATTGCATCTTCATCTTCATCTTTATTATAAATTGTATTAAATGAATTAAAATAAGTTAATACCATATATTCAACACCTAAATAGGAAGTAATATAATTTTGTAAATTAAAACTGCATAATAATTAATTATACACTGTTGTAATACAGACACACATAAACAAATATTACATTATTTGTCACAATTATCACATCATACATAGGAATATATAAGAATTAATAGAAACAAGAAAACATTAATAAAACTTATATATTATTGTAACTTTAATTGCACTTAAACAGGATATAGACATAATTGTAACAGTAATTACGCCTAATAAAACATATATATTATTGTAACAACAACACACATGAACAAGATAGATAATTGTAATAAGAATTATATATAAACTTAACTGTACACGTTTAAAAAATTAATCACACACAAATGAAAAAGAAATGCTAGAGAACGTAAGGGAGGGAGGAATAGAATAGATGGTCATTCAGGAATAATGGAATTGGTAGTCCAAATTGTATGAAGGTTGATAGGAATTGTAACATTGGTGTACGAGTATATCATATACAGGGAGTATGTAACAGCCTAGAGACAAGTGATTACAAAGCTTAGATTTGGGTTTTAGATAATTCAATACAGAGACCGTTGAATGATAGTTGAGAGAAACTGATGAAATTAACACAAAAGCTCCACAAGTTAGAGATTAGACGATTGGGTAACTAGAGGAACAATGAGATAGAATGAAAAAGAGCTCAAGGATAGGAGGAAATCCTGATAAAGATGTCATATATGGAAATATATGAGATGACGATTAGAAGAAATAGGGCAATCAAAAAAAAAATTGAAAACTCATTTATTCAAAATTATTATTATTAGATGTAATTTGCATACATTCATTTTTTACTTAATTGTAAAATATGGAATAAAATGTGTTTAGTAAATATTTTGGTAATCAATTTCAAGACAAAAAATATATATTTAAAACTAAATAATTATAATATAAAAGACTAAATTTCACATAATATCACAATTTAAAAAAAAATATATTAATGTTAAAAATAATCATCTTGTGGGATAAGCGACCGATCTAATGTAATTAGCCTTGTGAATAGCTAAGACGATTCTTTGCATTAAGAAACAGTTTCCATGCCAGAACCAAGTTCCTTGAAAAAGAATAAAGCGCGATTCCCAAGATTGTTAAAGTTGTGGAAATTATAGCCATGAATATATATATATTTGTGAAATTTATGAATATTTTGCTATTAGAGTTTGATTGGAAGGAGCCAATGGACCAATCCAAGAGTAATCCCCGACCAGGAATGATTTCGTTTCCAAGGATTTGAGAAATCTCATTTGAACGTTTCCCATAAGATTAGAAAAGATTTGGAGGTTTAAGAATAAATGGAATTTTAGCTGTTCTCAAAGTTCTAGGTTAATCGAATTAAATAAATTATGTCTAAGAATCGACCCTTACAAAAATGACAATGAAGTTCATGTCTTCCATTACCCTAGACGATAGAACTGCAACCAGAGCAAGTGTGGGGTTAGGTTACTAAACAGTTTAAATGAATACGAATGGGTTAATGAGCTCATTTTGGTCTAGTTGTAATTGTAAATTAACTGATAAATAGTCAATGAACTCATGGCCAGCCATTAAGCAATGAGGAGAATGACTGTGATAATTGCATTGAGTGATTCAACACAACTTCCAATTATGGGCCTATCCCAGTCCTTCTGCCTATTCGTTTCTAAAAGTCGGTGATCAGCAATTATTCGGGAATAACACCATCATAGAAAGGATCAGGTTTTATAAAATGAAAATTTATAATATTTTTCGTTAATAAGCAACTAGATATGAAAGCAGTTAAGGCAAGATCAGAAGGAGATCCGATACCCGATCTACCATTCTTGGTAGGTAAAGAAGCTTGAGTCCAAGCTATTTCATTTAACTTTACACTATTTTCAATCAGGACTTTAATTCCATACTCATAAACACCTAGGAGTATGGAATATTTAAAAATAGGAGTTCATAATAATTGATACTGAAATATTATAGAAATTTTTCAAGAGAAAAAAACATTATGTTAGAGGATAAAGGGAAATAAATCCGCCAACTCAAAAAGCGTATCAGGAGTGGTTTGAAGGAAGAAAGAGATTGTTGTGTTACCTAACAGGGGGATTAAATGATTTAGTTCCTCTTTGGTTCAAATTTGATGATGAGTGAATTAGGTTCAATTGATTTGAGAGGGATGAATTAGAATTTTCAGGATTGACAGAGAGTCTAATGGTGCTCACCGCCTTCATGATTAAATTCACAGCTTTATTGAGATGGAAGGCTGAAAAAATGAAGCTTAGTACTTTATTCGAAAAGATATAATTTTAGCAACTAAGCGTCAAAATGTAGAACCTATTCCAATTGGCCGAATATCATTATTGGGTTATTGACAAGTCAATTGGAGAAACGAAGCTAGGTCTTCATCTTTTGAAATTTTATTGCAAATATTTGTTGTTTTAGTAAGAATGGGAATTTGTGAGTGAGCATATTGAGGGGAAAATGATGCCCTGGATAAATATAGAGCCGATACCATCGAGGCTATGTGGTGAATCTCGTTAAAAGGAAAGGATAGCCTTCCTCACTTCTTCAGGAGTAAATTGAAAGCCATATATAAAGTGAGGTTAAGGGGAAATTGAGATAATTATTCCTCTTATGTTAAGATTGTCAATTTTTTTGAAAATTAAATTGGCCTTTATCTCAATCGGTTAGGATTTTTTTTGTGAAAAGAATGATAAACATAGGATGGAAAATCCTTGGGAAATAGGGATTTCAGGATTTCCATCTGCAATATTTGTCGAGGGATGCTGACGAGCGAGGGTCTTGTGTTCATGATCATATGGGGCGATAATGGATGCTGCATCCTTAATTTGCTGAGTTATGGATTTATGCGAAGTAGTTTTATCGGGCACCCTGAAGGTGTTATAAGCTTAAAAAGAATTTAAGCCATTTATTCAGCCAAAGTTTAACAAAAGGGAAAATATATAATCTCCGAATGATTTAGCAAATAGCAATCTTGTACATTAGAGGATCCTTGAAATGATATCTGGCTAATAGTCGAGAAAAAAGTCTGAGAAGCAGGCATTTGAATGTGAAGAGGAACAAAAATTCCTGGAGGAATAATTGATTGACTGACAAGGAGCAGTGGTGCAAAGCCAAAATGTGGACATCAGACTGAAAGTGGTTCATGAACTTGACATATCATACCTAATATGTATTAATTTCAGACATGAAAGATAGATTTGTGAAGAAGACAAAAAAAAATATGGCTAAGTAAAAATTTTGAATAACGCAGAATAGTTGAGGGATATAACATCAAGTTATGGAGTAGCGAATATAATGACCCAAACGGTGGTGACTACCATAAAAAGGGCAGAGAAGTCCAATATCATATTTTTTAAATATTGGACTGTTTAAAAACAGAAACTTTGACGAAATTGGAGAAATTTAAAGTTGTGAAGGAATAAGTAATTTTTTTAGTTATTATAAAATTTAAACAATAGATCTGAGTCCACTTCAAAATATTTTTTAATTAAAGTTCTGTACAACTTAATCCAAATGTCAATCCAACTCTGAAAAATTGAGTTGAGTAATAAGATCGGTCTATATGGGGGTCTAGTTTCTAATATGTGAATATATTCTGTAATTAATAGTTACTTTTATTAGTTTTGTAAGATTATAGATATACTTAAAATTGATAACGTTGATAAATCATTGTTTTTTTTATTATTAACATATTAATTAAATATCATAAATATAGGATTCTAATAAGAAACAAGTAGAGCAATGATATATATATATATTATCATTAAAGTAGAGCAAAAAATATGACGCTCAATATGAAATATGTCTTTCATTATTACTTTGTTCAGCGTTATTTTAGTTGTTTGATAGAATTAAATTGTCTATCAAGTAAAACATTTATATATCTTAGTCAGTTCTCACCTATACTTCATAATATAGTATCAATACAATGTAATATAATATAGCGCATAAATTTTGTACGTGTACAATTTTTCAATGTAAACATCTTTAAAGAAAACTTTCCCACTTATTGCACACAACCTATAGGTATATTTTCAGATAACGTAAAGTAATATTTTCAAAAATATTTTCTTCCATCCATATCATATGGTTTTTTCATTTTTTAAATGATAAAACTTAAGGAGCTATTGACGAAACCATTATCAAATAATACAATATGGATTGTTAAGGAATTACTGCAAAAATATAAATTAGAAATATTACTTAAAAATGAAAAAGAGTATGTTTATGAATTATTATCTGATTTAAGTTGGTATCATGGCAATATAGGTAGAACAACTGCTGAGAGCATGTTAAGAGAAAGTATTAATATTACTTTATATAGCATATATTTTAATAATATTAGGGATATATGAGAATGGATATTTTTTAATTAGGAATAGTATATCAATTGAGAATGAACTTGTACTCTCTGTTATTTATAATTGTAACATTTTACATATCCCAATTATTCAACATCAATTTGGGTTAACTTTTCAGTTATATGTTGAAAATAGTAAAAATGAAGTAGCAGCTAGTGAATCCATCCAGGGCATTGAAAAATGTGTTCAACATTACCAAGAATTTCAATCTATCTTACCTTGCCAATTGTCTAAATATTTTGTAGCTGGTAGACCTCCTCCATCACATTTATGCAAATTTTCATTTAATAGACTGACTCATATTTTTTCATTTTCAGGTATATAAATATAAAATACATTATTAAATAATATTTAGGTGACGAAACTTTGCTACTTGCAATATTAAAACAAACAAAACCAAATTTAAATGAACTACAATCTTTATTAAATTCAAAGTCTTTAGATGGATCTACTGTCTTGCATTTAGCTGCAAAACATGGACATAGATCTATTTTTTTTGCTATAATTCAATACATTTATTTATTGCTCAATGTTAACAAGGCACAACAGACTCCACAAGAAATAATGGCTCATTCTTTTAACATTATATATGATATATTGAGTGCAAGGGACTCTCTTGGTGATTCAATATTCCATATATTATGCAAGCATTCAGATATTATTATTCTAAGTGCACTTTTAGATAAACAAATCTTGAGAGAATCATTAAATTTTGATAAAAATTTTGAGGTAAAAGTTATTACTAAAGAAGACTTTTTGAAAAGGGATTCTTTTAGTGCCTTACTATCAAGCATCTTTATAAAATTGCTTCAACAACCCAATCCTTTTACAGGTAATTTTCCACTTCATGAAAGTGCTATATGTGGCAATTTAGAATGTATTAAAATGCTTCTCACTTTTGTCAAAGTTGCTATTGACCCACGAAATTTTTCCAAAGAAACTCCTATGGACTTGGCCATCAATAATGGCCATACACAATGTGCGGATTATTTAGAACGCTCTCGAAGTATTGAGTATATAATTAATTTTTTAAAATATCTTTGTGAAATAATTTGAATGTTTTTAGAAGCTATTAATTTAAAATGGTACTTGGTTTAATTATTATCACATAGATAGTATAATTTTGAATTATCATATACCTTTTTTTGTTACACATAAATAGGTCTTAAGAGAACAGAATATAATGTCCAACTAAAATCCCATACCCAAAACAGTATTAATAATAAGGGCCTTAATAATAAAGAAACGAATGAAACTTTTCATATCTCTTCAAACGGAAATAACATCACAAACGATATTAATCCATTTAGTTTTCACGGGATCGATAGATTGAAGGCTGAAGATATTTTGAACTCTCAAAATGGGGAAAATGGAACGTTTCTTATTCGTACAACATCTGACAGCACACAACGTGATATGTGTGATCACGCGCTTAGCTTGAGTTACGAAGGAAACGTGTTTCATTTTAGGATAGAATTTTCGGTATCAACGTTTAAATCATTAATTAGGCTCAGTTTATAGTAACTGCGTCATTAAAGAAAGAACCGCAAGCTGTATAATGTAGCATTTTCTATTTGGTAAACGACGTGATGTTGCACCATTTATGTGGTTATTATAACCGAGGCCTAATACATTAACATTTCTGATCTTTTAAAAAAACTTATACAACTCTTTTCTCTCTTGCAAATTTAAAAGTTCAACTATTACAGCATAGAAGGCGGTCCTCTGTTCGCGAACTTTAAGGACATAATAGATCACTACAGCCGATTCTCTGATGGGCTTCCTTGTCCTCTAACTAACCAAATTACCGGCACCTTCTCAAATGTATCAAAATGTTTAGCCAACGATTCACCAAATATTTTTGAAAATATTGAAACTAACCAAACAAATTTGCAATTAAAATCTATTGATGTCAAAAATAATGCAACCGAATCTATCAATCATAAAAGAAATTTTAAGGTTTATTCAGAGAATTCGGCAAATATTGGTGCATCGGCAATTATTAATCGTGGCATCCACAATATATCGATTCAAAATAGTGGTGAAGAAAGGGCGAGAAATGGATTTAAATTTACACCAGTAACTGTTTATAAAGACCCGAATATATTAGAGGATAATCTTGAAAATACCGAAAGCATATCAATCAAAAATAATGGTTCAAAATCACAGGCCGATAAGAAGAGGAGCCATTTTTTCAAAGATATAGAATGTCGAAATATAGAAGCCAGAAATTTGAAATTGGGTATATTAATTATTAAAAGTTTTTTTTCTTTCGCGACATTTAGGAATTTAATATCGGTTTTAAGATTTTATTAAAATTTGAGTTAAATGGGGAAAATAAAGTGGCGTTTGATTGTCTATCAAGCTGCTCGCATGTTTTTTTAACGCTAGTAATTCCATATGATGATAATCCCGGCCCAGAAATTCCGTTTACCTGACATGCACAGATTGACGATTCATTCATTAAGTTGCATATAAAAGTGTCGTACAAATCAGCTGGTGATACGTCATGGTTTCCCGTATAAGAATTATTTAATGAATAAATGAAACTCTGATCTTATTTTTATAGATCATATAATTTTTATATAAATTATTTACATGGAAAACCAAAATGCGTATCAACAGCTGATTTGCATTGATACACAACTCATTTAAATGGGTAAATCGTTAGTCTAGGTAGTATTCTATGTCATTGATATTACCTCCATCAGTCACGCCATTTTTAAATGTATACATGCTTATTTTTTTACTTCACTAGAGAGTTTTAAATATTAATTCTTCTTCTTTTATTAATTATCTTATAGTTCAAATATGATTATCATTTATAGATTGTGAAATAGGTAGCGGAGAATTCGGTTCCGTTTTCAGGGGTAAAATATGTGTCGGTAAAGCGAATTGGTCACCCGTGGCTATAAAGACGCTTCACCCGGATTACTATCCTGCGGATAAAGAAAACTTTTTGAGTGAAGCTAAAGTTAAATTAAAATATATTTTATATATCGACTGGAAAAAATAATTGGATTGGTGTTTCTTGAAAAAATAGTTAAAAAAATTAAACAAAAGTATTAGGAAAGAAAGATAGAAATAAAGGAAAATGATTTTATGAAACTATGGCTCAGAATATTAGTCTATACCTTAAATTTACAATTATCGTTTTAAAAAATTGAATATTTCTGACAGGTCATGACAGAATTGGTTAACGATCACATAGTTAAATTCTTAGGCATTTGCACTTCGGCCTCCTCCATTATGATGATACAAGAAATAGCCGAATTTGGCTCCCTTTGGGATTACATTCCTGCCAATGTCTCAAAGGTTTTTAATAAATTTAGCATTTTAAAAATATATCATAATGAAAGGAACGATTTATATAAAATATTTAAATAGATAAATCGTTTTACCCGTAACTTATAATAGCTTGAAACTAAAGAAAGAACGAAAAGAAATTAGCTAATTCACCCTTTTAACATGTAATTGATTGTTTTAACCTGTATTAGATACTTTTATACCTTTTAACAACAAATTTTAGTAATATAGGAATAAAAGCCAATAATTACCTCTTTCTAATTTTATTTGTGTTATATATATTTGCAAGATAAATGTTGGCTATGATTTTCCAAATTGGGCGTTTCAAATAGCTAAGGGCATGAGTTACTTAGAATCAAAGCATTTCGTACACAGGGATTTGGCTGCCAGAAATATTCTAGTGTTTACTCACGAAAAAGTCAATTTATATTTTATTTTTTATTAAATTACAAATTTTTAGTACTTTTTGATTAAATTACCCCGCTCGCATTATCAATAAAAAAAATATCATATATTGCATAATAACTACTATATTAGTATTCCAGATTCAATTTTATAGTCAGTCAGCCATTCTTAAAAAATAATGTTTATAATTCTGCACTTGGCACTATATGATTGGCATATAATTTTTAATCCTATTTAAAATTTGATGCCGGAAAAAGGCCGAAATGATATATCCATGTCTCATGGTCCCCAAGCTTCGCTTTTAGAGGGGAAATCCATTTTGCTTCATGCTTTATTCTTACCACCTTTTATTTTACTCTAAATTATATTAAATCCTTAATAACATGATTTAGGTGAAAATAACCGATTTTGGATTATCAAGGGTATTAGCTCTAGATAGCAATTATTACAGATCAACCACTGGTGGCAAATGGCCCATAAAATGGTATGCGAAAATGATTTGATAGTTTAGATGATTATTTTTTTTTATTAAGTCGATCACAAATTAGCAAATAATTTGAAATTTTTTTATTTATTTTGAAAGATTTTTATGCATTAAAGTTAAACAAAATAAAATATTTTTTAAAAAATTATTTTAACATTTTGTAAAGTTTGATCGAAAATCTCTGTTCTTCAAAAATATACCGTTATATATATCAGAGACCTTGTAGAGGTGCCATTAGCACGGCCCATCCTTGATTTTTTTAAAATATATTATATTCACTTTAAATTTTTATAGCTAATAATGGTGATTTAAAATATTTGGTTTTAAAATATACGCCCTGGCCTGGGTATTTTTAAAAAAAAATTAAATCCGGGTCAGATTTAGGGATGGGCCTGCAGGTTTTTGATATATATAGAGAATAATTTTTTTATTTTCATCTTATAACTTTCTTTATTTTCAATATATCTCATGTCTTTTATTTATTCGAACAAGCAAAGGTATTTTTACGTCCTTCCCGTTCCGGTCAAAAATATTGTTCCGTTACGCCTTTGTTCCAGCTTTCGGAACGTTCTTAGAAAAATATATTAAAAAAATTTTTTTTTAAATCTACACATTTTAATTAATTTTTATTTAATCATTGAATGAATTAATTATTAAATCGAAGCAATAATATATTTTCTAAAAAATTATCTATTTTATATTGGGTGGTTTTAGTATAAATTTGAGTGTCTAAAAACAACGTTCAACACATACCTAGCTCTGGATGATTTTTTGTTACTATCAAAAATAAAATTGTCCATTTAAAATTTTATTTACTAAGAAAAAATTAATTTTATAAAAAAAAAAATAGTTAAATAAATATTTTAAATTTAATAAAAATATTTCCCCTCTTTTTAATTTTTTAATCTACTACTTGTTTGCTGGTTGTTATCACTTTGCTAGTAATGCATAGTTTAATTTGACTAATGATTATTTATTATTATTAAAAAAAATTATAAAAGAAAATATAAAAATTTTTATTTTTTTAATTATAGAAATAAATAAGAAATTTATATATATTTTTAAAAGCGTTTCAGGACAGTTCCAGAATATATGTTCCGGTTCCGTTCCATGTCCCTGATTTCGAATCATTTATTTTATTTACATATCAACATTTTATAAGATTGGCTAGAAAATTTTGGTTTATTTTGGGTAAAAAAAATGTTCATACAGAATTTTGGCTATTTTTTAAAAAAATTAATTATTTATTTCTTATTTTGTCATTATAACTTTTCTTTTTTAAAATTTCTTTCATATTTTTCAAAAAAATAAATAACTAAATTAGTCACTTTCCCTTGAAAAATCGAGCACTGTATAAATTATGAACGTTTTTTTACCATAAAAGATCTGAGGGTCACTTAAATTCAACAAATTTACCCTTTTTAAGACACATTAAATATCTAATAACGGAATTCCTTAGTCAATATTCTATATATTACACCCCGTAACACAGGAGTAGTGATAAATCCCGATGTTATATATATTTTTCATATAATATTTAATATATGGAAAAATGGACGTTTTCATATAGTAGCCTAGTCATCGATGAGAGACTTCAGCAATCGCATAGATCTAGTTTCGAATCCATCAAGAACCATATTTTTCTTAAGCCAATTAGGTAATTCTGTATTACTAGGTTTAATATATAGAATATCAAAGGCCATCACGTTATTTCGCATTTAAATATTTCAAAAATGTATCTTATTCTTATTATATTTATATAAAATTTGGTCTTTGTTTAACAAATGTAATGAGATTTATCACTATCCTTAGCCCTGCAAATAGATATTTATAATAATGGTTCACAAAATATATAATAAATTCATTATATAAAAAAAGGTATGCCCCAGAATCGATTAATTTCGGGAAATTTTCACACTTAAGTGATATATGGAGTTATGGAGTAACTTCATGGGAAATATATTCTTTTTCTTCTCCCCCTTACGACGAAATGTCAGGATTGCAAGTTTTATTATCCATATACTTTTTTTGATTGACTATTCTTCTAATATCTGGCATTTTTAAAAATGATTCATAAAAGGGCGCTTAGTAAATATTAAGATATCAGTCCTTTAATTTTACTCCACTCGACTGAGGCTCGCGCGAATACCTTTCGCTCCGCCCTATAAAGAAACACGAAAAAGAATTACACGCTTATATCCTGATATTTTATATTTATGCTCCGACTGGAAGGAAGGACAATATTTACCTTATGTGCAAGGATTGAAAAATTTAGTGAGAACTGAGGTCCCCTACTCCTAGTAACGAAAACAACAATTTCTCAAAATATAAAATACTCTCGAATTTGATCCTTATGCGAAAGAGGACCCGTAGAACTGAAATATCGCCTTAATAATAACAAACTGCCACATCTTATACTATAATATTCACACTAAGCTATTTGAATTCATAAGGATCGTCCCCATTTTCACATATCATAGTATATGGCTGTGAATCTAATTAAAAGGAGTGATTATTTTTCCACCTAATAAGACTCTTTGACATTGATCTGATGTATATAATCTGTGTTTAGCGCATAAGACATTTTATCAACAATAAAAAATTTAGCTATTTAACTATTATTAAGTGATCGAAACATCTGCTATTGTTTAATACCTTCTTTTTATACGCAATGGGCTTTCAATCTTAAGATTCAGGATGCTTTATATATTTAAGTGTTTCAATGCACGCCCAAAGCCTTGACCTGGTTAATCCACCATTATGTATAGTTTTTATGTTAGATTCTAAGCATGCTAGTTACTATAATTTTGTGATGAATTTTTTAATGCTAATTTTATGTACCCACGTTCTTCCTTATATAAGAGTATATCTAGATATATATTACATGCGTTTGTCCATCTTGTCTTTGCGCATGCATTTGCTCATATAGACAATCTGGATTATTGGTATATAATGATTCCGTTTCTTACTAAAACTATTTCAGAGTTCGAATTTGTTAAATATCTTAAAAATAGTTTGCATACCCCATTTACTTTAGAGAGCGGACATTGTTTTCAATTTAAAATGATATTTTATGAAATTTTAGATTTTCGCAGAATTTCTAGAATTAATTAACGGGGCCCTTTCTGCTTCTATTATAAGTTGTACTGATATTGGTGGCAAATTCTTCTATTATGGGTGATGTCGTTAGTGTAATGTAACGATCTCTCATGTGTATACTGTTAAGGTCACAGGATAATCTGATTACTAGTTCTGCTTTGGGTGTTAGCGATATTGAAATCGATTAACGCTACCCTCTGGTGTTTCGTTCAAGAAAAAGTTTAGGTCCTTATATTTATATTGATATCATTATTTTCAATTTATCGACTATAATTTCAGCTATACAACAGCTTGATCGCGTCCTTCTGCATTGTTGATGTGTATTTTATCTTTTGGGACGTTGTTTTCTTTACTCGGAGAAATATCAGGGACCTCAGCTCTCTGCCTAAATGTTTTAATTTTTGCATCAGTTTTCCTCTCTACACATCGGATCTACTGATAAATCAAAACCATACCAGGATATAAACTTGTCAATATCCTTCATGCCTCTTTTGTGGAACGGCGCTAACGAAAGCAGCGCGGATTAATTTATAAACTCGATCAGATAGATTTCAATATATATATATAAATTTCATTTTGAGAAACCTAGTGGTGATAAAAATGTCCCGTTCTTTATCAATTTTTTTTTCTCGAAATATCTAAAAAATTACACTTTTATAAATTATTAAATATTAGGTTATAAATTCCATCGAAAAAGGCTACAGACTACCAAAGCCGGATAAATGCGAAAAGGAAATATACGATATTATGTTGAAGTGTTGGTCAGCCAGAAGTTCGAACAGGCCTACCTTTTCACAACTAACCCATTTTTTTGAGCAAAGATTAAGGATAAAATAAACTATCTCTAATGAAAAAAATAATCATAAATGCAAGCATTAAACAAAATTAGAATCTCATAAATTATTAAGATAATCTTTCCATTATTATTTTATAAAAACGTTTCCATTGCATTTTAATATTAATTTGTTACTAACCAACCATCACACCAATAATTTATATATATTTTTAATTTAAAAAAATGACGCATTTTTTTAAATTTAACTTTTAACTAGGACTTGATTATTACGTTAAAATCATTCAAAATCCTGAACATTGTCATTTTCACTTAATTGTTAATTTAACGATGGACAGAATTTTTTTCCACTTTAGATTATTATAACTTAATTAGTAAAGAAGAAAGTTCCCTCGATTTTATTCCATGAAGATTATTTTAAAAAAATAAATCATGACTATATTTTTATTTTATGACATTTTACAACCAACATTTACCTTTTTATGGTATAGATTATAATTTTATAAAATAAAAATTTTTAAATAAGAGCTCAATCAAACAAAATATTTCATTTAATAAAAGAAACAGATTTTTTTAAAGATATTGTCGATCAAAGAAGTGCTCAGAAATTTTTTCATTCAAGATCAAAAAATCTCCTAAGGCTAGATATAATATCCGTTATTTGGCTCCTCGAGCGTTATATATTTAGTAAAAGTAGAAATCATTCTACTGAGAGTTTTTTCTCCTTGAATGGTTTACTTTCTATTGTTATCATATAACCTTTGGATATATTGATCTGGATTTTCTTTTCAGCAGCTTCCAATTGCTTAATTAAGTTTCCGCAAAGCTTTATACCTAATCATCGAATAGTTTCTAATATATAAACTAGTATCGTCACTAGGCAGATGGTTGAGCCACCCTCCCCTCTCCCTAATTTTTTTATATCCCAAATGTAATTTTGATAATGTTAGCTAAAAATTATAATTTTGGATAATGTTAGCTAAAAAAGCAATTTTGAAATTTTTTTGAGTCCCCTGAGACTGTAAAAGCCAGGACGCTCATAGTATAAACATGACAAAAATTAACATTAACCATTAACTCTTATAATTTAAAATATGTTAATACTTAGTTATTGAATAGTGAATATGGTTGTCTTGAAAATTTCTATTAATTATTTTTATGTTAATTTATTAAGTTTCTAAAATAGCTTATATAAATTTGAGTGAGGTACAAGTTTTAAAATATAAGATGAGCTATTCCCCGCCTAACTACTCACGTTATTGAATAAGTTTTGCACAAGGCTTAATAATTTTTGGTTGGATAAGGATTGATTGAGATCATGTTTTTGTTTCTAGCCTTACAAATTGGTTTTCTTTTCCGTTATTAACGTTATCCATTTATCTACAAGTAAATGCTAAACAAAAATAATATATAAAAGAATATATTGCACTCATCAGCTGTTAATATACATATTAGTATTATTCAACTATAATTGATTGTTGGATACATGTCTATAAAATACTGCTAGTATAATAATAAATAATTATAGTGAACCAATTTTTATGAATTATAACTTATTAAGTAGATGATAGGGCTTGTAAAATTGAAAGCTGTTAATTTGAAAGATTGAATATATATAATAATTTTATTGTTAAATGCCTGCATGCGATTCTGTACAAACCCGAATATTGTGAAATCAATACAATTCCAATTAACCTTTTGATTTTAACCATATCTACTTGAAAAATTTACCGCATTTGGACTCTCCCATTGGTAAGATGTCAGTTAATTATATTTTTAGCAATGTTGAAAGAGTCATTCTTAGTGACTGTAAAAAATCAAGTTTTCAGATATAGCTTGAATCAAGCTACACTTCCTTCCAAACATGGATCTTGGTGTAAAATCCCCACTGTCGATTTCAATTTGTACGTTCATTGCTAGCCACCTACAAGCATGTAGATTAATTGTACATCTGTCTGTCAGTCCACGATCCCTTTTTGAAAACAGATAGGATGAAGTGTTGAAAATCCGTCACAACCACAACCCTATTTTCGATCTCTGTAAAGCAAAAGGAGTGGTCCTTATTTCGAGTCTTTCACCCTTGGTTAGATCCACATTCATTGAACTTATCAAGGCTCGGGGATATAAATTTTTAGATGTCATTCCATCTAGTAATTTCAAAATTGTACAACCAGGAGCTCAGCTATGCTGTATGTAACTGGTTCAACATTCCTTTTTCATTACTATATAAATGCAGCTAATACGATACTGACGATGACAATATGGCGCTGCATCCTTTACATTGCAATCGTAATCCCGGTTGGCAAACCCGACACTCGAGGTGAAATCAAATCATATCTCATGCACTTAGGTCTGGCTTTCCTACCTCATTAGAGCCTTCTTTCCCGGTGGTAGACGTGATGAAATCACACTAATTCCATGATCATAAGGAAAGTTTCTATATTAGATTTTTCTTGTCTGAACATGAACTCCGCTTCCAATTTTAACAAAAACGCTCTGAACAGAGCACAAATTTTTAACATCGCCAATAATTAGAATTACATATTCGTACCAATCATTTGCTCCACTTTAACAACATATGGTGATTTGGCTAAAATGTTTTATCAAGATGTCATTAACAAATCAGAAAAAAATTCTGGGTATCCGTATCCTCGTGAAGGCTTTTATTTAAGGCAGAAGATCGCAATAGCCATTCTTAAGGCTAATTATGTTTGTTTCATTAATTCGATCTCTCCTGATTATTAGGAGTTTTTTTTGAATAAATGTACTGGTTTATGTAGCTGTAATATTTTCTAACAATATTATATTCGCCGGGGTGGCCCAGTGATGTGTGATGTATGCTTGTAAACCGAAGATCCAGGTTCAATCCTGGTAAGGAACTAAAAAATTTCGGGTCTTTTTTCGATGATGGATGGGATTAAACATATGATATAATAAATTTCTGAGCTGATAAATGCCACTCCGGTAACCGACAGGCTTAGACAAACGGGTGCTAGGATACTTGTCTAATAAACCAAAAAAGACGGCCAGCTGAATTCGTGGGTCAGATGATAACGATTTCTTCGCCAGCGCTAGGATGATGGTGACCTCGGGGGCCGCTCAAGCTCAATGTCTACCAATACAATGGACTTAATAACGATACTCCAGTGGAAGATCCATCGGGATTGATACTCCAATGGGATATCTGTCGATTTGATAATTCGGTGTGAGGAATACTCTGGTGGGATATCTGGTCGATATTGATTTGATACACCGGTGGGAGATCAAGATACTTTGGCCTCGATAGTGATACACCGGTGATAGATACAAATGAAATCGATCAGAAATACAAATATAAAAATAGAGAGCATGAGTAATAATAAAGTGGAGATGTAGCTTACCACCAGAAAAGGTGAAAGCTAAACGGAAAAATATTTATTATATATTTTCCATTTTTTATTTCATTTTGTTATTATGATTTGTTCTAACTATTATATACTTATAATTAATAAATAAATTGTAATGATAATGAACGAATATATTTTACAGAGAAAATAAAAATTGCTTATATATTATAATTCGTTTTTTTGGTAATCTTTTCTCCTCATTTTTTCTTTCCCATTCTGTTAGATCTATCTAGGGAACATTCGTAGATATTTATGCTTCTGTCATCCGAAACTGATACGGCCCGATTGCCCATAGAATTAAATTTAGCGGACCAAACCTATTTTAAATAAAAAAACTATATTTTGAAATAATAGTTTTAGAAATATTTTTTCAAATCTTAATAATAACAGCTGACGTATATATTTTAAACTAAAAAAACTTGATCTGTATGCTCGCAAATGGAATGAACGCATCTTTTGCCGGCAACATCCCAAAATTTTATGGTTTTATCTGAAGAACTATATAATTTTATTAGAAAATGTATAAGTGAATTATTCCATAAAAACCCGAATTGTTGAGCAAAACGCTTTTAAAACACGTTAAATTAAGTATTAATCTTATCACCCCTTGAGCCATTGGAAAACCTCTAATTATTTAATAAGTATTTTCAGTCCTCGTTATAAATTTTAAAAAAATCAAATAATATTTTAAATTGTCTATAAGGAACCTGGAGATGAAGGAATTATTGTCGGATGAGAATGCGAGCGAAAGAATCCAGGAACTGTGACCAGATAGCCTCTCTACCAAATGGGCGTTTGGCCTTCAAAAACAAATTAAATAAATAAATTTAGATGCAACTAGCAAATATTTAGATTTATTGCTTCACAGTAAAATAGAAAATGAAATACAAAATATTCATATACTCTATAAGAGTAACGGTGCTCCTTGGGGTCGGGTGTTAAATCTCCGGGTTATGGGTTGGAGGTTAGGTAGGGTTAAAATTCCCTGTGGGCTATGAAAAAGAGCAACATTTAGCTTAACTACAAGAAACAGATGATATGTATGTCATGATCATTTATCCAGATTAGGATAGCTATTATAATATAAATTCTTAATATAAACAAGTGTCCTCATTATCATTTTCTTTATTTCAAGCCAAAAAGCAAAATTTCTTTTGTTTATATCCATCATTATTTTTTTTTTATGAATCATGATGCTTTTTTAATCTTGGGGTAAAAAAATTACCCATATTACCTTTGATACAATATTTTATTAATAAGCATAAGAATAATCTAATATTTCAGGTTTCATTGTGATTTATTTAAATGGGATTTATATAAAGCTAATTTTTCTAAAAAAGAATCATCACACAAAAATAAAGACTTTATTTTTTGTTATAAGAAAAATATTAGAATTATATTTTATATTATGCTCAAGATGTTCTAAAAAACAGGTGAATAAAGGACAGGGCTTAAAAAATTTTGTCTAACCTCTTCACCTTACCATTAACCAGGGACTTTCACTATCGGGAAGGGGAAGAGGGTTATGATGCAAGATCGCCATTTATATTAATTGACGGGGAGTATATGTAGAAAATTTTGACACTATCCTCATTTGCATAAAATTTTGAAGATCGGGGGTAGTTCTTGATTTCCTTTTTTGATAATTCATTTAGTAAGAAGGGATTAAAATCCTCATTGACTTATGAGATTTAGGAGCACCTGATATTAGCCTTCTATTTTTTTTAATTATAATTTTAGCAATAATGAAAATATAATAAGTTCTTTGATTTTTTATTAAAGTCTATGATTTTATCATACATTTCAAATATTTTTATATTTCCATCATCCGACCCACTGATCAGCAATTGGGAATCAGGCGAAAAGGCTAAGGTTCTGATAGGTTTAGCATGACCTAAATAAAACAAAATTGTGAGAAAAAACAATATTAGGCATTTTTGAAATATTATCTATGTATAGCAAAAGAAATATCATTGCAGATGTCCTTATATTTCAATCATAAAAAGATATTATTTACAGTTTCACGACGAAATTTAAAATTATAATTTATCTTATTTATATGTATCCAAGGCTTACTATCAGAATATCTTAAACAAAATTGTCTTTTACGTGATATCAATGATGTTATTTACCTTCAATGGTATGAAACAATTTTCCAGTATTCATGTCAAAAAAATTGATTATCCCATCATTAGATCCAGTGACCAGATATCTCCCATCAGGACTCTATATATATTGACGTTTTAAATAGAATTAATAATTTTAAAAAAAGAAAAGAAGAAAGACGGAATTTTAAATCTATCTTTTTTTTATTATATTAAAGTGAAAATTAAATTTAAATTCCTTTATTTTGTAAAAGATTAAATAATAAATATAATTTACAAAGACTAAGCTAAGAATAAATTTTCCTTTGGTATCAAGGGTATTTTCTTTGACTCCACTTTCAACATGATATAAATGAACTGTTCCATTATTATTTCCTGTGGCTAGAAGTCTGGAATCGGGAGATATTTTAATTGTCCAACATTCCACTAGTAAACATTTTAATCATTTGTTAAAAATGTAATCGAAATTTGGAAAAATGACATTATAATAATGTTAAGGAAATGGCTACACCTATATACCTTGTAGGGGTTACAGACGATAGTTATTCCACACTGGTCCTAGGATTGGTTAAATATTTGTCACCAATTTATAACCATTTTTATTATTTTAGAAATTAAATTTATGTTCCAAAGTATTATATGATCCTGTAAATTATTTTAAAAGAATTTAATTAATTATAAATATATAAAAAAATGACTTTGCTTCTCAATTGATTTGGGAACAGTGATATAAAGAAAAAATTTGCATTTTTCATCGTGATCAAAAGAGATGTTCTAATAATTGCCACAACTATCTATACTGAAAGACGCAGATGATCGCGCAACTTCTTATATGGCATTAGATATAATAAAGAAATTTGATTTTATTTTGAATAAAAGATTATCTATTACAATTTTAGCTTGTACAAAATTGAAAGCGATGTTTAAAGATATCGTTTGCAATTATGCAGATACTATTGGCAATGGAAGGCGTAGTGGAACTGGAGTATAAGATGATCTGCATCGAGCCTAATTTCCCTAGACCTGCCAGAAATTTAAAAAAATATTTGTCAGGTCTGGCCAGATCGTAATTATTTTTATTTGTACGAAAAGCTCGACCAGAAATAAAAATTGTTTGTACACCCGGACCGAATTTATTCAATAAAATAAAAAAATATTAGCACCTTGTTTCTTGTAAGAATCTAAAATATAATCCATTTGAAAAACTAATAATATCACATTTAAAAATTTAAGCCCGACCCGGCCCGACAGAAATTTCTTAAGGAAATATTAAGCCCGACCGAGTCCAACCCGAATTTTTTTTTACAATATACATCAACCCCGAAATCCGTTTGGGTCGGGCAGTGATTTGCAGATCTCTAGTATAATATATATAATTATCTCATTTTAAATTATTTATTACATAATGGAATCAGGTCAATAATGAAGCAATCGCGGTTAAAGAATTTTCCAATTTAAAAAGTGTATCATCCGAATTTGAAGATTCAAGGTAATGTAATAGGAAAAAATGGTAAATCTGTATTTTATATATTTATTCTGATTAAATAAAAGTATTTTATGTTTGATTAAACTTAGTGGCTATGCAATTAGCCAAACGTGTTAATGATAAATCAATGCTTTTAAAAATAAATAAACGAAAAAGACACGAATAAAAAAAATTGGTTTTATAGTCGTATCATTTTCACAATTATATTTATCGAATGTAATAAAATATAATATCAATGATGGTATATTTCTGTGGCTGAATTCTCGGTTAAATAGAAAATATATAAGTACCACCTTATTGGGGTAACAGAAAATAGCCAAAAGTCTTAAAAATATTTTCTTTACTTCAGTAAAATTATTTGTCAAATGTTTTTATATCTCAGGTCATTTACTAAAACTATCTATTAATGCTAGATATACATCTCGGTTAATTGGTCCGGAAAAATTTAAATGAATTCTTCCCCGTGGTTTATTTGCGGAAGGCCATTTCCCTATGATCGTTTTACTGCCAGGGTTATTTGTTTGACATAATTCACAATTCTTACCATGTAATTCGATGTTTCTTAATATTAGGTCACCAAACGTTCTCTTGAGCCAATAATTTTGTTTTAGTGCAACTCCCCATGATATTCACCTTGCCTCCATATCGTGAGTTCATTTGGACACTAGAAAAACGGTTTTAGATTTTTATCTATTATTTTGGCCACCCAATTGTAATGTAACGTGAAACTTTTGATAGTACTAGGTCATTTCTTTTGTGTGATTGATGATATTAGAAATATCATATGATAATATAATTGAACTTTTAAAAAAATTAATACTTGAAGAAAATTAATTTTATGCTGGAGATATTATTTTTTTCAAAACAGAAGAAAAGGAGAAACTATACAAACTATACCATGAATGGATGAAATTGATCTTATACAAAACTCGATAGTGAAAAACACTGATTAATTATTAATTTTCTACCAATCAATTTAATACCATACCATTGTTTGCAATAATAAATCATGATATATAATTTTATTTTTATAATTAACGGGTAATATACATTTACCTAGAATATCGATCATTAAATTATTATATATTTTAAAATAATATACGTTTTTGTTACTGGCATTTTTAAATGGTAAACATCTGCTATATTCAAAATGGAGACTGCCGAACCTGTGTCAATTAAAAAATTAATATATATTTTATTTATCAATAGTTCCACCTCAAATTTTTTTCGTGACACCTCTGAAGAATCCCAATCCTCAAAACTTTCTCGCTTCTTTTCTGGGACATCTATCGTTGGAATATATTCTTTCTTACCACTTTTTCATACTTTATGTAAATATCCTTAATACCACAATTATGACAAATTGCACTTAAATTTGACACTTTGGTTTTATAATCAACAATACCAAATAATTTTTGATACTGATTTATAGTCATACTTCCTCCTTGTCACTGTTTTTGAAATTTTATTCTTCTCATTTCCTGCAGATAATTTTTTATGCATTATCATTTCCATCGTCTCCATTGCTGTAGTGATTTGAAACAATTTTTTCCAATGTCAAGTCTGGAGTGTTGATTAACTTCATTAATATTTTTTCTTTCGTAATTTCCGATAATAATTTATCACGTAACACTGTATTATACATCACTTTAAAATCACATGTGTTTGCTTTTATCTTTAATTTAATATACTCTGTAATAGTTTCTCCTTTTCCTAATAAATTCCATCTTTGATAAATACACTCCTATCTTGCACTACTTTATATTGATTTTTTCCTTATGAAGCTTCCCATACCCCAAATTTTACAAACCCTGCACTATTGAACTTTAGTGAAAACAATGATTAATTAAGTATAACTTTGCAATTAATTTTGTCCAGTTATATATCTTTTACAAATCAATGTAAATACATCAATTAATCATAATACACAATTAATATATATTTGAATAACAATCAATCCTATTACCAATTGCCTTTCAAGGTTAATTGAATCTATTACACGAAGATACATTCCTTTTCCTTAAGAATGGCAACACCATTAGTAATAAGGTTATTTTCATCGACGTTAGTTTACAGCACTAAATATAAGTATATAATTTCTCTTTACCATACAATTTGCACCATAAATGGGGTATGTAGGCAATCTATATTTAGCACATAATAGGGCTATGCAGCCAAAACCCATAAAATTGAGAAAGAATATATCTTAAATATAATTTTTCACAATTTTGCAAATAAAAAAACTTAAATAATGATTTGCCCTTTAAATTACAATAAAAACATATTGTCCACTCTATGAATTTATTGTAATATACAGTTTGTACTTTCTAAAATATAATGCTGCATTACATGTTTCAACTTAGATAATGCAATTAAAAAAACAAGTTATATATCTTTTAAAGTTTTTAAAGATTTCACATTTTTAATAAAAATTAAGCTAGATTACTAGTGTTTTTATAATAAAAAATATATCCCTTAAATATATTAATTTATTTTTAAATTAAAATTTTAATTAGTAAGATTAAATAATATATTAGATATTTCTGTCAAATAATGTAAACAAAAAATATCTTAACTATACATTAAAATTATAAGCTAATCAACTAGAATGATAAAACTCAACATTAAATTTACAATTTCTTGGGAATTGATAAGGTGATACATTCTACTGACTAATAACAATGTACAAGAGTGTTATAGCCTACCAAGTAAATAACACCCTACAATGGTATGGTGTAGCCATGGCTTATGTATAGTAGATAAGAAAATGAATATAAAAAGATTATAACAAAAAATTAACTTGGTCCTGGTTCTAATATTTTCAACTCTTCTCCTGTCTCCAAATCCCAAAGTTTAATTATACCATCCAATGAAGTTGAGGCTAATACTTTAATACAATCATAAAATTGTGATTTTTTAAGAATATATGAAAAAATACATATAAAATAGAGCCAGCCAAATAAATAAAATTATATTACCAACTCCTGTTGCATCTATGTCAACAGAATGTACAGCCAATGAGTGTCCTTTCAGTATATGTTTTAAATTTAAATCATCATTCTTCCTAAACATGCAAAATTATTAAGTATAGAAATTAAAAAATATATATTTAACAATCACCATGTCCAAACTTTTACTGTTTCATCTAATGATGCAGTTGCAATATAATCTGCATCAGAGCTATCATTTTTTCCCCATGCTGTATCCCATATTCCATTTTCGTGTGCTAATGCAATTAAAATTAAGAATAATGTTATTATAATAAAATACCATTTTCTTTTTTGTATATTAGATTTACCTAAATTATATATAAATAATTATAAATTTTTAACTTTTACCATTTTAAATTTTAAATTTTTTGAAATCCAAACCGAACAGCAAAATTATTCTTTCGGAAAGATTACTATTATGAATATTGGAATATCAATTTTTTAAATTATTTCAATGGTTTGGGTTTTCCGGTGCAAGTAGATGCTACAAATGCATATAATAGAATACCAAGATTAAGGACCATATTAACCAAATTAAAACATTTTTCTTAATTTCTTTTTTTCTCTTTTAGGTTAATTTGCAATTGATATGAACATTAAATCTCAATATCGATAGTAATCATTAAGACTTACACTGAAGATTTTAAGTTTAAAATAGCCACCATCCACCCTTAAGGTAATTAAATTATTTAGTAGTTCTCGGGTATAAGCTGTTATTAGCCTATAGACATTTAAACTACAGTTCGGTTTTGAGTACAAGTTCCTACGGATTGCCCACAAACATGTTAAAGGATCTTCATTTTTCTACCCCTAAATTAAATATCCAGTTTGATGGATTTTGAGGAAAACCTAGCATAGCTCTGTTGCATCCACAACCAGAGGGCAAAAACTCTTTCATCACGTATCTCGTAAATTTATATCTCCTTTTATAATACACATAACTAAATCTCGCTGAAAGGGTAAGTTCCATTTATTTTGTTAAATTACAACTGGGTACATGGTTTATTAAAATCCGAAGGGTGGGCCTTCATAAAATTCACGTGGGCTAACTTTGGGCAGGTCTAAACCAACGTGTTAGATGGTATAAGCAGAGTTGTACATTTGCTCAAAATAAAAAGATCTTTGAAGATCGTAAAATTTGAAGATCTTTTATTTTTAAAAAATTTTGTGTAACGATCTTCAAAGATCTTCATGATATTTATTTTTTTACCCCTTTATTAAAAGCCCAGATGTTTTTCAATTTTATTAATATAATATTTCTTTTATGTTTTATACCTCTCCTCCTGCCTTGATGAAAATTGAAAAACATCTGGGCTTTTAATAAAGGGGTCAAAAAATAAATATCATGAAGATCGTTGCTCAAATTTTTTTATAAATAAAAGATCTTCAAATTTTACGATCTTCAAAGATCTTGCTCAAATTTTTGAGCTAGATCTCGCTCAAAAATCTTCAAAGAAGATCTTTTGTACAACTCTGGATATAAGATAATAAAAAATAATATCGTACCGCCTAAATTGTTTTTAAGTTATATTTTGGTATTTGTGAAATATCATAATAATAATTAAATTATAATAACAATTATATAACTTTAGAATATCGAATGAATATTTTTATATATTTTCGAGTTGTTATATATATACTATATATAAATTGCATTAAATAAGAAAAAATAGAAGTACATAATTTTGCATGTTTTAATATGTAAAATAAAAATGGAATGAATTTTAGAAATAATAAAATAAATTATGATTAAAATTACTATTTTCATCAAAAATAATTTATTAAATCAACAAAAAAATTATATATTATTATATAGGAGTGATAGAATTTTATTAGTATTTTTGCTATGTAACACAAAGCGATAAAAAATCGGGAGACTGTTAATATATTTAAACTTACAATATACTAAGAATTGCTGTATATGAGGAGATTTGGAATCGAATTAAGAATGAGAAATATACCATCAGGAAACCTAATAGTTCGAGGGTGGATGGGATATTATCTTAAATCAAAACTTATTTTATAAAAATAAATCAGTCAGATTACAAATTTTAACGAAAAAAATAAGATATTGTTTTAAATTTTATAAGTTTAAATTTAACAAAAAATTAAATGTGTATTTTTAATAATCTGCTAAAGCTAATAAAACATTATATGGAATGAAGCGTGATTAACTTAAACTTTAATCTGTTTCATATAATTATCACAATACTGAAATAACAATGAAATTTCAAAACAATCAGAAAATGGGCTGTTTCCAATATATTTAATTAAAATTAGCATATAATATGGCGACATCTGTTAACTAGTCATATAAGTGACAGATGTCTGAATAAAAATTAAAATCCCCATGTATTTTTGCTAATTTGAAACGAGATTTTCAAACCAAATTTTGAACAAAAACCGTTATATTGAATCCCCAAAAATGTGGATTGCTTGCTTTGATTATATTGTTATATGATCATCATTCCTATTGGTATTCCATGCCTAAGATAATAGGATTATAGTAAAAACTCCTTGCTCTATTTTTAAATTTAATATTTTTCTCTTAATTTATTATAAATAAAAACTATTTTATTCAAGAATTGTAAGAAGCGTGCTTTAATATTTTATATGATATATTTATACAATATTTAGTGTATATTTTATTCCTTAAAGGTTATTTTATTTAGTCAATTTACATACCTTATAAATATTTGAATTAATTTTAAAAAAGTTTAATTTTTTACCATGTAAAAATAATTGTTATAAATTAAAATATATTCTTTAAATAATGCTAATTAAATTTTGCAAGACAATTATCTAAATCCTCTTGTCCTACTATACCAACAGAGGTCATGGTGGTAAATGGACTAGAACTGAAGAATAAAATTAGCCAAACTAGATCAAAAATATGGGACAAACTATATATATCTATTTTCCTCACTGAATAAATGTTAACTAGAAAGATAAATATAGGGATTTAATCAAGACAGTAGGCCATAATTAATTTTAGACAAATTAAACCAAAAAAATAACCCAACTTTTACCCAAAAAGGAGTCTCATAATTAGTTTTTAGCTTGGCCTAAAATTTTGGACATTTTATTGCTCAGTAGTTCTATTTAAAAATTATTTTAAATAATTTTTGCCATGTTATTATAAATAGGTTTAGAGGGAAATTGACAATATTAGTAGTATTTACATTTAAAAAAAATTTTGGCATTTTTTTTAAATTTCAGACTAAATCTAAGGTTTTTAAATTTAGCCTAGCCATTTCCAGAAAAGGATTATTTTCTTATTTTGACATAAATGCTTATCAAAATATTCGATATTTTTTTATCACCACCTACATTGTCTATTCCTTAGTCAATTTGTTTAATTTACTAATTTTATTTGATTCGAATAAAATTATTTGTATATTAATTAAAATAATTTGTTTTAGATTTTTTTGCACTAATATGCATTTAATTTAAAAGTCTTTATTAGTGTTACCAAGTGGTTTTAGCCAATTTTTAAAAATAACTAAATTAGGATTTTATCAATAATATTACCTGTTAGATTTTTCAAATAGATATCTTATCAGGTTTACATAACATTTTTTTGCTGATAAACTTGAGTTAGTGATTTTTAAAATTTAGCAACATTAAATTCTTATTTTTTAAATACTTATTTTAAGCACCAAAATATGATACCAATTAATGCAAAATTTTTAAGTAGCAAGGTTGCGGGTAAATCTATGATCGAAGATGATGACGCTCTTATGACCCCACCACAACAAACTAAGGGCCAAACAAGCATGGGTGAAAAACACAAATCAAATGACACATTAATTACGCAAAGTGAAGAATTTGAATCTTTATCATGTATATTACTTTTTGTTCCTCTGTTCATCGTTTTTTTCTAAAAAAAATAATTAAAAGCACAACTAAATGCCAATAATCATGGTCCAGTGGATGACCTCACTTCTACCTTCCTTAATGCTAAGTATAATCATTTATCACCTGTTGAAAAAAAACCCATTTATTTCAAGTTATATATAGTGCTGTTGATATTACTTCAAAAAAGGAACACGTTAGCTTTACTCATTACCTTGGGGGAAAAGGAACGGCTACTTTCATCGGCATTGTTTTATAATTATATAATTTTACCTCTCAGACCCTTTCCAAACAAGTCATTTTCGCAAAAAAATTTAGAGCCACATTTTTCATCATTTCTTATTATTTAAAACAGTGTACAGATGTTAATTTCATAATATATAATGGCCAAAATTTGGATGATAAATGTATGGTGAATTTCATGACAAATCAACATGAGAACATTACCCCCTCAAATTTTTCTATAATTTTTACTAGAGTTTGCATTATTATAACTAAGAAAAAAATTAAATTTTAGCCTCCAAATAGTGAGTGAGATACGGGCCTCTACAGGTCGGAAAATGGGCAAAATGCTCACTTAAATTTCATATATCTTTAGATATAATTGAGATAAAGCTTCATTTAAATAGTTTTTTATAGCATAATGGTAAGCCTTTTATTAAGTTATATAATGTTAAATATTGTTAAAAAAAATTTGTCATAAACCTAAATAGTTATAAAATCAAATCGGTATTTTTTTTTTCTCTCAAATTTTTTTTATATATGGATTACGAATTAAATAATAAATGTGCAAAATTTTTAAGTTGAGCCAAACTCAGGTTTGGGAGTTATGCCATTTTATATATGAAAATCTTAAGCCTGGTCGGATTTTTTAAAAATTCCTTCGTTCAGGCCTGGTTTTTATATTTTCAGGCCCATATAGCCCGAATTTTTTATTCATAATCTAATCCATTGTGAACTTGAAGCTGCGGAATGATATTTTTTCGTAATAGCCCATGGCAAACATTTCAAAAAGTTATCAGAAAGAACTTCTATCAGCATCCATATGAGAATCAAATAATAAAGCATATATCACTGAAATTAATTACGCACATGTAAATGATATGAAAAAATATCTTGTTCGGTCAAGCCCATTCCCGAAATTAACAGTTTCATGCTTTTATGCCACTTAGGGTAAATTAAATTAAAGTTTAACCATTTTCATATAGTAAAAATGATTGAATTTGCAATATTTAAAAATTAAATGCTGGCTTAAATAATTTATAATTAAAATTTGATTTGTATTTTTTTTTAGTTATTTTTATGAGGAGAATTTATTTAATCAAATTAATTAACCAAAGTCCTCCCCCCCTTAATTATTTTTTTCTAGATCATAAGTAACTATTCTTTTAAATATTAAATATAAAATATTTTATAGCTTTTGACTTATATTACGATTATTTATCAATATCAAATAATTATTCTAGGGCTGTGCCGATCCAAATATTTTTTACCGATCCGATGCTAGATTTTCCGATATTGGTCAAAACCGAACCGATACCGATCCGATATTTATATCGATTTTTCACTCCCCCCCTTGAACCAAATGTAATTAAGAAATTAATTTTTTTTTTAAAAAAATCGAATTATGTATTTTATTTAATTTTTTTATTTCTATAATAATTAAAAAAAGTTTACGGATATTGGTAATATTAAATGAATTTTTCATTATTCCTCCTCGTGAAATTAGGATTCAGCAACGCATTTTGGAAAATTATCTTTGTCTTTTGTAAAATATTTCCATAATTCAGATACCATTCTAAAAAATTCTTTTATTTAAAGTACAAATAATAAAATTGACGTTATTATTTAAAAAGATTTAAAATAAATAAAACTTTGGGGCCCTTCTATTCTTGTAAAAAAAAACTTTTAAAATACTATAAATCTATTTTTAAAAATTAATAAATTTAAGGGGTGTTGTGCATTTGCATTTGCATTGCTTAAAAATAAAATTATTTAGAAAATATTATTAATGTAAAATAAAGTTACATGAAATAAAAAAAAAAGAAAGTAAAAAGATCGGATCTGTTTATTACAGGTATCGCCCCGATCCTATATTTTTGGGAAACGATAAATGTCGGTATCTCCTATTTATTTAGAATATTTGCAATAGACTAATGATTAAAATGCTATATCTCCTAAACTTTAGCTCGGCTCAACTTGAAAATCTGTTTATTTATTTATTAATCCTATATCTGTACATCAAAAAAATTTGAGAGAAAAAAAATGCCGATTTGATTTTCTCACCATTTTCGGGTTTTGATATTTAAATTTTTTTAAAATGATTAACATTGTATAAACTTTAAAGTTTTACTATTAGGGTATATAAAGAAATTTAAATGATGCTTCTAGCTTAATTATCCAAATATATTTAAAAAGAGAGAGCATTTTGCTTAAGGTGTCCCATTTTTCGACATTAAGAGGCCCTTATCTCAATCACTGTTCGGAGTTGTCTTAGTTATAATATATACAAAATCTTGTAAAAATTTTAGAAAAATCTGAGGGAATCAGGTTGAAAATCATGTTATTTTTTTTTAATTTGTCATGAATTCACCATATACAATTTTTTTTTGGTAAATTAATCAAAATTGACAAGTATTTTTGTTAGCAAAAAAGTTAATGTTTTGGGCAGTATATATAAAATATTTGAAGCACTAAAAAAAATAATTTAAAAAAATGCATATTTGACGCCCAGTATCTTATACAAATATCTAATTTTTATTAAAAGAGTAACTTTTCAAATGATATTATACTATTTTTAATATACCCTCTAGGTAACGTTATGGTGTCAAATAGGCTGGTTTTGGAAAATTAATATGCCAAGTCAGGAATCTAATTCCTACAGGTGTACCTCAATAGGGATGTTTATCTCTGATATTCCTCATCATTTTAGTGCATCTTATAATATTATAAATCATGAAAAACATTCAGTTATTATCTAATAATGAACGTAGGAAAAATTATATATTAATAAAAAATAATTTTTACCGCACGATTTTTTTTTTAATTTACTCCAAAAATAAATATAATAACCTATCTACCGATATTAAATTTAATAATTTATAAAAAATGTATAATATATAAATGATTTATTAAACTGTCCATTTTATTTAATTACCTAAAGTATGCAAATTCGGGCTGGGTCGGGCCTAATATTTTTTAAAAGATTTAGGGCTGGGCCGGGTCGAGCTTAAATTTTTATATGGGATTTCATTACATTTGTCAAATAGATGAATTTATTTTAAATTCCTGCAAGAAATAAATTTTTAAAAAAAAATTTGGGCCAGGCCGGGCTTTCCGGAGCAGATCACTAAACCAAAGTAATTTTGTCCATTGCTTAAACTGCCAAAATAATTTGTTGAATTTACATCACACTTATTAACAACGATAATTTGGATATCGATACAGGTTCTATACCAGTACACAAACATCATTTTCTATGAATATATTAGATATACAGTCACATTTAAAAAATCTAACAATTTTTTTTATTAATTAATCATGCTTTTATTTATTTATTTTTCTCACAGATAATAAAAATAAAATTATACAAAAATAACATATTATAAAGATAAGTATCTAGATATAAAAATGTAGTATCTGTATCTAGATAGATTTTTAGAAAAATATCTGTATCTAAATATTTATTTAGAGGTATCTGTATCTGTTTTTAGATACTTTTTAAGATACATTTTATATACCCCTTTTTTTATTATAAATAAAAATATTTGACTGTAAAATTTATTTTATTTCATATGAGCTTATGAAATAAATAAATATATATATATTAATATTTATTAATACTATAATAAAGAATTATATATACATAAAATATTAAAACTTATATATAAAAAATATATATAAATATTCATTAATTTAAATATGAGTTTATCAATAAACCATGCAAATTTTAATATTACAATTTGTAAATGGTAAATTTTATTTTATAACTAAATTTTTAAGTTTATATATTTATTTAGATCTATATCGATGAAGAAGAGGAAGCAACAACAAGTTCTATTGCTTTACCATGGCCAATTTATAGAGCATATTTTAAAATAATATCTCAAAACAAAGAAAACAATTCTCTGATGGTAAAATGTTTGCCGTGTCTACCTAAAAATACAAAAATATCCGTCAGTATGACTTCAACTTTCCATATCTTGAAGCACATAAGGATATAGATATTATATATTTAAAATTCTAATTTAAATTTTAAGAGAAAACATCCAACCTTGTTAACAAAAATAAAAAAGGGGAAGGAAAATAAAACTACCAAAGAAAATATTGGACAAGGCTCATCCTCCAATAATATTTTTGCTAAAAGACCTTTGACTTTAACTCAAGGCACTTTAGATGATTTAATTATTGCTTTTATTATAGATGGCATGCAGCCATTTTCAATTGTTGAAAATCCTTCTTTTAAAAAAATGATCAATACTTTGGCTCCACACAAAAATATAATTTGCCAACAGACAGTTGTTGGTAGAATTTCCCAAAGATGGGAAAATGAAAAGAAAGAAATAATTAAAAGTCTTATAGAACCATCATTAATATGCACAACAGCAGATTGTTGGAGTGCCTATCGCCGGTATAGCTAACATTTAAATTTGTATAATAATTAATTAAGAATAAATTATTTCAGCAATTTTAAGAAATTTTAATTTTTAGTTCTTACATAGGAGTAACCGCTCACTATATAAATCCAATAAGTTTGGAAAGAAAAAATATAGCGTTGGCTTGTAAAAGAATGACTGGTAGTCATACATATGATAAAATAGCAAAAAATTTACTAGATATAGCTGATTATTGCATTCAAAATAAAATTAAAGACCATTACAGATAATGCCAAAAATTTCATAAAATGTTTTAGGTTTATTTTATTATAAATAAATATAAACATAATATATGATTGATTACTTAATTTATTAAAGAGTTTTCAAGCCAATTGAAAATAATACAAGTGAATCAATTGATGATCTGGAAGATGAAGCAGTTGTGCCAATTTCTATATCAAATCTTTATAATACTGCACAGGATTCTGAATTATCAGAATCATTTAGTTTACCTCATCACCAATTTTGTGCCAGTCACACATTGAATCTTATAGCCACTGTGGATGCCAATAGAGCCATGCAGTGTAAACAATATCAGAGAGTAAAACTAATTTTAATTAAATAAGTAATATTTTCTTCATTAGATATATAGCACAACACTACATAAATGCCAAAATATATGGAATAGGCAAAATAAGTCTCCTATTTCATCTGAGATTATTAAGGAATATATTGGTCGTTATTTTATGTCCTAATGTAACTAGATGGAACTCCACCTATAATGCCTTACAATTAATGTCAGAAATTATAAAAGCTAAATCTGACAAAGTGGACAAGATATGTGATGGAATAAATACCTAGGTTTTTACCTATTGAATGTGATTTTATTCATGAATATTGTTTAGTAAGTAATAAATAATATTTATATATATAGCATTATTTTAAATTAGCTAATGAAGCCAATAGCTAATTCCCTTGATATTTTGCAGGGAGATAAGTATATGTACACAGCTTATTACTGTGCAACTATTTCACAACTTATTATCAAATTAAAGAATTTTAAAGAAATGAACCTGAGATTCTGTTTACCACTCTTAGATGCCTTACTTAAAGGGATTGCGGATAATAAATTAAAAATATTTAATAATTCTAGGTTTATTGTGACCTTATTTGAAGATGATAATATTTTAGCAACCATGCTCCACACTTTTTTTAAACTTGATTGGACATGGTTGCAAATGGAAGAAAATCTTAATAAAAGAAAACAATTGATACAAAGATTAGCTGGTGAATTATCAAAGTCATCAACTGACTGCCAAATAACCTGCCAAAAAAAACAAATAATTTAATTTCAGATTTTTTTCAGTACCCTACAGCAGATATAATTTCTAATAATGATTTAAATTTTGATAATCAACAAATTTTAAATAATTTTTTCAAAAATGAATGTAAAGATTTTAGCATTTATAAAGAATACCATGATATAAAATTGTTATTTATTAAATATAACACTACAATTCCTTCAAGCGCCCCTGTGGATAGACTATTTAGTGTTGCTAAAAATGTCTTTACAGATAAACGAGGATGCCTAAATGATCAAAATTTTGAAAATATTTTATTACTGAAATCTAATAATAATTTATAATTATTTAATCATATATTTTCATATATTATATTATAGAGTAAATTATTTTAAAAAAAACAAACAATTAAAATAAAATAACAATATGTTTTTTTATTTTTGCACAACCCTCAAAAAATAAATGACAATCAAATATATAATATATAACAAAACAGATTTAAAAAATACATACGGTAATTTTTTTGAATTTACAATTTTTATATAATTTAATTTTTTTTATAAAATACATACGGTAATTTTTTTGCATTTACAATTTTTATATAACTTAATTTTTTTTATAAAATAGAGTTTAATATTATTTTCAAATGTTTAATATACGACAAATTTTATCTAGTAATACAAATTCATTTACATTAAATCCTGATCCTGTTTTATCTAATTCAAATTCAACAAATAATTTATTTAGAGATTATATGAATGCACTAATTAATATTCTACCGAGTGATGCAATTATTGTTATGGACAATGCATCCATCCATAAAAGCCACCTCATTGATTGTTTTAGAGCGCGAATAGAATATTCGCCACCCTATTCGCCGCAACTAAACCCGATAGAAATTTTTTTGGAGTGTTAAAAAACAAATATAGGTCGATCAATCCCCGACCAAATACTCGAAACGGTAATAATTAATAATGTAACATCAATTCTTAATGAATTTACTATTCCTTTTGATTTTTCAAATTATTATAATAAAATGCATCAATTTTTGGAGATTGGTTATCGAGGACAACCAATGAATTAAGGTAAATTTATAAAAATATAATTTATATTGAAATATATTTTAAAGGAATTTAGAAAAAGGAGAATATATATATAAAGAAAAAACGAAAATAAAAATATCCAATTTTTAATGTATTTTTTAAATCTGTTTTGTTATATATTATATATTTGATTGTCATTTATTTTTTGAGGGTTGTGCAAAAATAAAAAAACATATTGTTATTTTATTTTAATTGTTTTTTTTAAATAATTTACCCTATAAAATCATTATTTTAGTTATATTCTGATTAATGTTATATCGCGTCAATAAATTTTTTAGCTCATTTCATGAATTTTCACAATATAATATTAATTTAGGTTTATGCAAACCTATAAGAGCATAATAAAAAATGTATCTGTTATACAGATACATTTTAAAATTGTATCTGTATCTTGATAACTTTTTAGACGCTGTATCTGTATCTAGATAACTTTTGAGACTATGTATCTGTATCTAGATCCATTTAAAAAGTATCTTTTAACAACTCTGCTAAATAGTGCTTTCGCTGTGCTAAACAAACGTTAACTGGCCCAGAGGATGGGATAGTTGTATTATATTTAATAAATAAAGATGTTAACTGGGGGAATTTATTTCTCGATCTTGAAGTTATGGGCCAACGATAGACAGGCCACGATTAATTAAAATTTCTCAAATCCGCAAGTACATGTTCGGACATGAGCCAAAGCCGAGCCATATGAAAGGATAGGACTCGTTTAATACCGTTTTGGGATTAACATGTTGAAGAAGATTTAAAGAAAAGAATGATCGTTATTTTTAAAAAATAGTTTATTAGATCATCATCACACGTATCTTCTTATGCGTTAATTCTGTTATGCGCGTTATTTAAAGAAATTAAATCAATTTTTGTTTATTTTTCTCAAAATCTTTTTTCAAGGTTGAAATATTTGAATTAGGACATAATTTCCCTTTACAAATGTAGACCTATCGCCCTTAACTTTTTTTATTGGTGTAAAAAAAATTTCATGCTAAGGCAAGGGCAGAGTTAAATTATCTTCATCTGAAGAAATAAGTACTATTTTTTATAAAATAAATTATAATATTAGAAAATAAAAATTACCGTACTTGATAATTTAATTAGATTAACAATCTTGACTGTATAAAATTCAACAACATGAATATGATAAATAAAATAAAAATGAAGAAATTTTATAATTGATCTGAATTTAAAACGTTGCTAAAATATTTTTAAGAAAAAATATTTAAAATAATGTTTTACGTTATCGTTACTTATTTAAAAACAAGTAATGGCGTTCCTTTTCCCAAAAAAGTAACGGCGTTATTTTCACCGATATTACCTTATAGCACTATTTATAATTAATAAAATACTTATTTATTCCTTATAATTTATTAATTTGGTATAATTTATATTTGCAACAATAAAATAAACTTTGTTGCTTTATGAATAAGGTTTAGTAATAAGATTTAGTTCGAACCGGATTTAAGAACTCCAAAACCATGATTTTTATCTTAATATCCTATATCCATCACGATTCGGATCCCTGAATAACATTACTATTCAGGCTCCATAAATAATCGAGATCTTTTTACAAATTTAATTAAATACATAAAATTTTTTAAAAAAATTTACATTATCGATTCCAGATGCATTATTCCGTCCATTTAAATGCTAAAGGAATCAAAACTTTGATATTAAAAAAAAATACTTTCCAATTATTGGAGATATTTAACCCCCCACCCCTCCCCACCTCCCGCCTTTTATCCTCATTTTTAAGAAATGTCAATAATTTTAGTGTAATCTTTTCCGAATTTTTAAGTAAGCTCTTTTACAACAAAATTGATATAATTTCTTACTTTTAAACAGAACGTACAAAGAATCTAAAACGCCTTCTCCTACTCTACGAAAATATAGTAAAAGAGGTAATGGCGGTATATGGACCCAAAGTGAAGAAGTGAAATTGATTAAATTAGTAGATAAATATGGTAAAGCTTGGGACAATCTACACACCTACTTCCCACATAGAACTAATATCAATATTAAAGATAAATATAGGCAACTCATAAAAGCGAGAAAAGTTTTAAAATGAGGGATGGATGCATTATTGGATTTATGTAATTATGCATCTTTGTGCCAATTGTTTATGTAAAATTTATTTTATACATTTGCTTTTTACAGTTTATAAAAAATATCAAATATAAACATGTAATTCTATAAGATGGATATTATTATATGAGTATCGTTTATATTAAATGTATATTATTTGAGATGGAAATGATGTGAAAGTATTCATATAATAGAGATCATTTATAATAATTACACAATGTGTCTACATATTTGCCCATAAAAATATTTTGCTCAAATTTCCCACTCCAACCCTAGAATCTTATCGCCCCAATTTATGATATACATGGACTGATAAAATGGGCGCCATAATTCCTTCCATTTTAATTTTAAGTTATTAAATATATGTGTAATAAATTGCCTATTAATATTGATAATATTTTTAGGATCATTGTAAAAAAAATATGTTATTATAAACTAGTGTATTTTAGACCCAAACCTAGGGTCTGGGTTTTACACAACCAACCAATTAACATTACTAACTCAGATCAAAAACAATGTCTTGGATATTTTTTTTCGAGATTGAAAAAAATAGTTCTAGCCAGTGTTTACATAAGCGAGGGGATATATAAGAAGCATTTTGCATCCATTTTTTGTGGTAAGGGGGAAGGGAGATAGAAGGAGCATTTCTGGATTTTTTTTCTAGAGTTGGAGTCCTAAAATCTTATTTTAAATTGAGCGGCTCGATAAACGGCATGTGTTGCCTCAAATTTATATTGAATCAACATTCTACTACTATTAACTCCTCGAAAAAAATATTAAAAATTTTAACCAGTTTAGTTTGTTGATTTGAATATTTTTAAATTCGAAATTCTAAGATTATGTATATGGTTGTAAGAATAATATAATGGTATTATCTGTTCATGATCTTATTATCTACTGCCAAGAACAATAAAAATTTTCACTATCCTGGTTTGAACTGAATTAAAAGTTTCTTTATGTTGGAAAATACTTAGTTTTCTCTTGTAATGGTATAATTATTCTAAACTATTTAGATATAAATTGGATGGAGTTAAATTTCAAATAACTGGAAGATTCGATACTATCATAAATATAGAATTTGGAAGATTAAAACACTATTTACGTCTAAATAATTTTTTCGGGACTTTTAAAACTGATGTTTTTTAAAAAAATATTTTGTTTATCAAATCTATGCCATCTTATCTTACGGTTTCTAAATAAAATGTAGAAATCTTTATAAAAAAAAATTATATCAAGCTCTTATTTGTCGAAGGGCTCATATTTCGATAGATAAGACTTTCATTGAAATATGGTATGAGTGGAAGCAAAATGAAGAGATATTGAGCGAAGTAGAAGAGGAAAGTGGTTTTTCTCAGATTATTTTCATGGTTTAGATTGTCATTCAGTAAAAATCGCGGTTTTTTATAATGACCTAATTGTCCTCAAATAGCATAATGTATACCAAAATATTATTTATTTTAGTTGTATCAAATATGTCAATGTCCAGCTAGTTTGGCTTATTTAAGAATTTTGTTGCAAGTTTCCCACCCCAGCCCGCTACATTTTTTTTTAAACGGCAAGTTAAATTTTACAAAAAGATATGCCAATCCCATTAAATATTTTTGTATAAATTGTTTGGCCATCACAATTTTTATTGATTTTATATCTTCAATATAAGCTTATAAATAATTTCCATATTTTTTTTATTTACGTAATAAAATAATTCTTAGGACAGACCTGATTTTGTCATGATTCTCTAATAAGTGGTTTGCCTGAGATTTCCCAGTTTCCCATATTACGAATTTACATGTTATTTTGTATGCACACTAGGAGTTAACCCAGTGACCCCTACACTTTTTGAGGGATAGAAGCAGAATACCCCCCTAAAGTACCCCCACCCCCCATTGTAAATTATTTTTTGACACCAATAAATTTCAAAAATAATTTTTATTGCATCAATATTTATTATAATATAAATATAATGTAAAAAATATATGCTTTAAAAATATTATTTTTAAATTAATAATTTAAGATAAATTAGGGGAAGAGAAAGCAAAAGAATTTATAATTTCATCAATATTTAATTGTTTAAATAAATTATTTTCCATTGATAAAATGGTTAAATTATTAAGAAATGGATCTTTCATGATACTAAGAAGTCTTGTTTTAATTAGTTTAATTTTACTCATGACCCTTTCGGCAGTACATGATGTAGTAGGAATAGTTAATAAATATTTAAATAAAATTGTTAAATTTGAGAAAGCAGAAAAATTTATAAGCAGACGATATGGTAAAATAAATGAATAGTTTCTCCAGTCTGAATCATTCATCTCAGAATTATTATCATCATCAGAAGAAGCTAAATAATGTATTAGTAAAAATATTTTAATTAAATAATTTTACAATTCTCAGAATCTGACAAATCTTCTTTAACCTCTAGGTCACGAGTAATAATTACGTCCCCCTTTTTATTATAAACATTTCTAAACATCAACATTACCTCAAAAACTTGACTTGTATTTAATTGATAAAATTCACAGATATCCTTGATATCATCTTTAACAATTGCCTTTTCCGCCATTCCCTTTGGGGTAAAAAATGATGTTTGACTCAAAAATTTTATCGATTCATCGTTAAATCTTTCACTAAACTGCATAATAATTAAATCAAGTGCAGCATAAAACACACTGATTTTAAAGCTATAATAAAATATTATATTTAATGATGAAAGTATATATACCTCTCCTTTTTGGATTGTAATGTTTGAAGTCTTGAACTTTCAAAATTAAAAGGTAAATTTCTCTTCTTCATAAAATCTTGGGCCTTTGAAAAGACATCCTAAAATTCAGTGTTATTATCTATTTTGGGATTATAAAATAATAAAAGATAATAATTTAAATTATACTTCTCATATTACTCAGGCAATCTTTTGCCAATTGAATTTGATTTATTGCAAACCCTATATCCTTCGAAATGGTTTGCAATTTTGTACAAGCTAAGCTTGTTATCAACAATATTTTATCCAAAACACATAGTGATAAAATAAAATAAAATTTTTATATTCTATAGACTATAGCACAAGCCATAGTGGAAGTGGCAGGATCTTCAGAATCCTTTAAATTTGCCAAAGCTGCCCTCAAAGCATCATAAAGTAGGAAAAAATTTACAATCGCCTTATATGATGTTAGCCAGCTTCTATAAATATAAAATAAACATTATATATCGAAACAATTAAGATAATATTACCGAGTGGTATTCTTGATGCGTAAAAATCTATGTGATTTTGTTAGTAAATCACTGACATGATTTGAGCACTTCATATCTTTTAACACCATTAAAATGTACATAAATTTCGTCTAATATTCCCAAGACATTTCGCAGCTCTTTTACTGATTGGCATAATTGAACAACTATTTAATTTAATTGATGACAATAGCACCAAATAAAAGCTGCCTTTGGCGCCTCCGCTCTAATCAAAGCCTGCACTCCATTAATTCTTCCACTCATGTTTGAGGCGCCATCATAGCTTTGCCCCACTAGGAATTCGAGGGGTAGATTCATGGAGCCAAGCTTGGATATTATATTCTTTTTAATATCGAGGCCCGTTGTATTTCCCGTACAATAAATGTCTATCAGCCTTTCAACGGGCTTAGGTGTCTCGCTATTTTCAACATATCTCACTATCAAAGCTATTGCTTCTGATTTCGATACATCATATGTGCCATCAACTATAATTGAATAGCACCTGTTGAATTCAATCTCCTTTTGAATTTTTTTTATAACCATATTTTTCATGGTTTCAATAAGAATATTTGTTATTATATGATAACAGATTTGAATATAATTTAGATTTTAATCCCTTAATTTTTTTCTCACTTCTTCTTTCTTCATTATCTTGTATATACAGAACAGGCTCAGAATCTGCAATAAGTTTAATAAGGCTTATCATATTGCCATATTGTTGCCTGTTCCCGCAGAATGCTTGATTGCGAGATATTAAATAAAATTTACTAAACATCGATCAGAATTTCCGTCAATATATTAAATTAAATATTAAGTGGTGGGGGGGGGGGTCTTATTATTACATTTATAAACCAGAAATCACATGATCATGATGGATGTAAAAAAAAAATTTTTTAGAATTTAAAAATTTTTTTTAAAAAATTTAAAAAAAAAGTACCCCCACTCAAATTTACTGAAGCAGTTGCTTCGGACCCCCCCCCCCGTTGTAGGGGTCACTGAGTTTACCCAAAGACTAAGATTTCCCCTTCTTTTGATGATATATTAATTAGAAATTTAACTATCTTAGTGCTTGGGAAAAATTTTCCAAAATTATTATTTGGGGTAGGCTTGTGAGATTTTTTTTAAATAATTAGTCATGGATGCTTGGAAATTTTTTAATATATAATATGGGCCAGACATTAGCCTAAATTTTTTTTGAAAGCCTGGGTTGGACCTCATCAAAAAGCCAAGGACCACGCTGATTCTAATTGCATTATGATTTTTTAAAATTTTATTTTAGTTCTGAACTATCAAGATTATTATGGTCTTTAACCAAGTTAGGGAAATTTTTTCAAAATTATTGTGGTCTTGGGATTTTTTAATATTAGCCAATAATTTAATAAAGAATTTTGATTGGTCTAAAAACTAAATTAAATATATTTTAACTTAAAAAATAATATTCACTCTTAGTAATAATGGATTGGATTCTACTGAATGGGAAGAAAGGGGGGGGGGGTAAAAAGAATAAAAATTGGATGATTTTAAATAAATTGTAAGATCTATTGTAAAAGAACAAAATTATTATCTTAATGGGCTATATATTAGTTAATTATAAATTTAGAATTAAATAAAATTTCAGAAAATTTTATCATTATTTTTTAATTAGTAGATCTGCAAAATTTATTTTAATTTTCTATATCTATAAAAATAAATAAATGTTTTGCTAAATAATATCATGGTTTGTAAAATGATAAAATCACTATTTAATGGCTCAAAAAATTCCATCAAAAATTAATATTTTTTTTATAAGGATAGTCTCCTTATATGGATAAAATAACAATGTTATACCTGATAATAAATTTATGTTTTTATATACAAGACTTTTTAAAAATTTTATTTCATTTGTACAATATCTTTTGCAAAGGATTAAATTTTTTTAAAGTTTGATTATTAAAATATCAACTAAAGTACATTTGTCTACTTGTTCTAATTTGTAGTGCACTGTAGGATCTTTCCATCCACTTGTGAACAAGAATAACCTAAAATTATTCGCTAAAGGAGGGCGTATAATTCAGGTTATTGAATTTTGAATAGCATTTTTATGGGAAGAAATTTTTTGGCTATATAAAAATCAATTAATTTTTGTCTTAATATCCATTAGAGTTAAATAATAAATAAATATATTTCAGCTCAAAATTAAACTTAGTCAACTAATGCCAACTCATCCAGTCAGCTTGAGCCAATCTTTACGACTTTATGCCATACCTTAAAAATTATTATTTAGATAAATAGATATTACCCTCATTTTTTTTGATATATGAATTATAAAAATTAATAAATTCCTATAAATTTTCCCTAATCTTATTATTTCTAATTAAATGTTAATTATTTAATTAATATGAAATTGAATTACTCATCCTCTATTATCAAATTGTTTTATAAAAAAAAGGAATCTAATATATTCTTATTATAATTATTTTTATGTGAATATTCAAATCATCCTTTAGTTTTTAATTTAGGTTACTGATCACAATTTGAGTTGCTAGTTTAAATTATAGAATATTATCAGATTATAAGAGAACAATTTTTTAAAAATGAATCTAATATTATTAAACAAAATTATATCTATGCCAATTTTGAAATATCCTCTAATAAATGTTTTTTAAAGTCAATATTAACTTTATTATTTTTTAAATTTTTTGTCATTCAATAACTAATGTTTAGCTATTCATGCAATCTTGTTCTGATTTATAATCATTTTCTATTGATTTCTGTTTAATAAATTGATCAGCTTCTTTTCTTTTAAGTAGAATTAGAAATTGTTAGTAAAATGCCACTTCTCTTAATAGACAAAGCTTATTTAACCAGCTTCCAGAATCTGATTGTTTATTGAATTTTATGTTTCAACATAAGTTGCTATTAAACATGCCACTTTTACTTTTGAAATTTTAATCACCTAAAATATTTTGATTATCATAAATTTATAAAATAATTCTTTTATTATATCACAATACAAGATTTAAATTCACTACTAGTGAGATGTTCTCTTTGATATTGGGTACCCAATAAATAAGTAACATTTTCATCCAAGTATTTATATCATTTTTTCAAGCAGATTAATTTTTTTTCTTCAGATTTTTTAGAGCATTTGATCAGGTCAAATGTCATTTGACTGAATTTGATCAACTTGCAAACCTTGTCAGAGTAGCATTGATACTTCAACCAATACAATCATAGTAATAGCTGACTGATACCCTCATATCAAAATAACATAATAAAGATATATTTAGTGTTGTAAAAATTTTTGAAAGACAAATAATAATTTAGTCAAAAATTATGCAAGCTAAAAGATTGCACCCAACAGGAAGGTATGATGGACACCTATTCACAAAATCTTGAGACTTGCATAATATTTTAGCAAAATTTTATATCAACTAAATCTCATTAATACTAGATATAATTTATTTATTATATTTATAGCTAATTTATGAAATTAAAGAAATATCTTTCTCTTTTTTTAAAAGATAAATACAAATATGATTCCTACTTTCTTTATTATTTTTTGTCATACATGATCACTATATATGAAATTCAAATAAATATAGTAAAGATTAATAATATTCATCACTACTTTATTAAATAAACAAATATAATTAAGATATTAACAATATAATTTTAATGAACCTATTATGTGAATTATGTATATATACAGTTATTTACAAATATAAGAATTAAGCAAATTTAAAAAATCAGGTAGGAGTAATATTTTGGATTAAGGTTATGTTGTCGCCTTTCAACAAGATTCTTCCTTAAATATAATATTTTAGTTATCAATACAAATAAATTTACCTATAGATTTGCGTGAATTACTTTTAGTATTAAATTCTTCAGCATTGTCAAGAACTAGGTTCATATATTCATCAAATCCCTTAACAAAATATTAGATTTTAAAAAATATGTTAGTCATACGATGATTTCTCCTTCCAATCTTAAATTAACATTTTCATAAATCCATACTTGAATTCGAGATCTCTATAAAAATTTAGATTAAAATGTAATAATTATTATATTACATTTTGAAGATAACGGAATATCAGATTCTTAAAAAAATATAAGTATTTATATATAGAGATTAAATTTACTATAGGCTGTACTAGAACTTTTTGAACTTTCTGTTGAGTTTTATAAGCCATGACGCAAATTTAAAAATTTTCTAATTTGTTAAATTAGATTAATTGATTCTTTAATAACTCGGCACACAAAAATAATATATTAAAATATATTTTTTATCTATTTTATCTCCTACTTAAATATAAATCTAATAATAAAATGAGTTCATAACTAATAAAATTTTAACATTATTTAATAACATCGTAGAAATTAAATATACATTATAAACTAACATGAAAACAATGAATAATTTTATTATGTCCTTGTTAATATCTTCCGTTTATATATCTTTCTATAACAAATCAATATAAATTTATCAATTAATCATAATTCACAATTAACAAATATATTAAGGAAATGACGAAAAATGATTTGGAACACTTTTTTATTTTTACATTAAAAATAGTTTATGTTATATTTTTCTTCAAAATTTTTATTTGTTTATTATTTTAAAATTAAAAAATTTAAACAATTAATTATAAAAAAGGCTTAGCTTATGTAAAAATAAAAAAAATCAACAAAAAAAGTAATTAAAACTTTTTATATTTAAAAATTCCTAACAAAAGGTAAAAATTTTTGAAACAAATGCAATAAAAAATTTATAAATTTATTGGAAAAACTAATTATATTGTATCTTGTCAATTTTAAGTTTCTATTTATATAATAGAAAATAAATTAAGTTATATTCTAATTATAATATTTAAAACAAAAGTTCAAGAGGATATCCTATACTCTTGTTTCCCATGGAGAAATTAATCTTTTTTATCTAATACATGAAGCGTGAATAATGAATAGTATTCATCTTATAAACTAGTCAAATTATATTGTTGTTCTGATTATAAATGGTAGCTAATATCTTTTAATGTATTTCTGAGTCCCCAGTGTTGTTTCATGTTTTATTAATTTATCACTATTTGTAACACTTTTTTCCTTTATATTTATCAAAGTGCCGAGGAACTAATTGTACTGCCCGAGAAGGATTTTTTAAAAATATTTTACATTTGTTTTTGATTTTTATATCTAATAATGGCGATTTAAAATATTCGGTCTTAACCAGGCCATTTAAAAATATTACAAAAAGGCCAGTACCTTATACCCGGGCAGAGTCTGCAGAACTCTGTTATTTATTCACTATGTTTGTTGAATAAAAAATTAGGAAAGTATAATAGAATTAAATTGTGTAAACATATTTTGTTTAACTGCTCTGGTTAGAAATTTTTTTAAAAATATTTGGCTTCAAAATATACGGCCCGGACTGTATATATTTAAAAAATTAAAATTGGGCCAGGCCCATGTACCTGGGTCTAGCTGGGCCTACAGGACTCTGATATTTATTCACTGTTTGTTGAATGAGGATTTTGGAAATTGGAATAGAAATATATAAAATAAATTAAGAAAATATATTATGTTTAAGGAATGCTTACAAAACATTCAATTTCTTATACTCGCCAAATATTTTGCTGATAAATTTATGCCATATCCGTTTTGAGTGGATAAAATTTCAACAGTGTTTATGAATGTTCAAGGAAAATTCAAAAGTTCTTCATTAAGTCTTAATCTGATCTTGACAATTTAAGATCATATTCAATTATTTATTTATAAGATCTAATAGTGCCACTCACTATTCTATAAAATAAAATGCCAACGTGTAGGCATAATTTTATTTAGGGTTTGTTTAGATCATATAATTTATTTACACTATCATCATTATGCTCGAATTCAATATGATGTTGATCAATATTATCTTTCTGCATAGTATTCCATAATTAATAAATATTTGAATATAAATTATTAAAAACGTTGGCAATAGATGTCTATGTTATCAATTTAGATTTTAAGCTTCTAATTCTTGAAAATCAATATATTTTTAACAGTTGCACAACCCATAGAATAAAAACTTCAAATATAAAATGTTTTACTTATTTAATAGCATCCTGCAAAGGCCATTTTTTACTTACCGAGTCCAACTGAAATTATGTTTATGTAATAAAAAATGAAAAATAATTTTTTCCTATTCTTAGTTCATTTAAATTGTGAGTAGATCTGTAAAATGTAGACAATTATTTTGAGGAACTGGAACTCGATTTATTTTTAAAAGGTGCACCATGTTATCAGTTTCAAGTTTGAAAGAAAGTGTGTGATTATTTTTAATAAATAAGTGCTAATTTTTTGAATTAAAGTTCAAACTAAATCTTGTTTGACCTTCTTTCCTGCGGAACTTCACTTTTTGTGATTAGTAATATTGTTTTAAATTTTTATAAGCATATCAATTTAATTTAAGCAAAAAAAAAATCATTTTAGAATTTATTAAAATTTTTGTATTGTTACATACAAATTTAACTTTTACCGAATGATATATATATTAATAAATTTTGATAAAGATTATTATTTTTTATTACTTAAAAAATATCTTTAATTCTTCTTTTCTAAAATTCCTACAAAATATCAGACACCTTTGTCATGAATCTTTGATCTGCATTTAATTTATATACAAATTTTAAAAATATAAATTAAAAAATTAACATATTTTATGGTCAAAAAAATCTAAGATGAATACGATTAAGACAAAATCAGATCTTTTAAAATTTAAAAAATTGCGCGTTATAGATCAATATTAAAAATATGCTAAAAAAATGCTTGTCTACGAAGCTTAATCCAGAATTTTCTAAACACTTATCATATATTCAATAATTATTTTTTTTATATTAAATCTGCTTTTATTTAATGCGTCTAAGTCCTGTAATTAACATTATCTTTTGGAGAAAAAAAAATTAATGTGTCTATAAGATTTGAGTAAAGGTAACTAGTTACATTTCAAATAAAGTGACTATGCTATGTAACTAGTTAAGTTTTTGGCTAAGATACTTTCTATTTGAAATTAGTTAATTTGTTATTAAAAAAAATTTTTTGAAAAGTGAAAAGATGAATTAGTTATATTTTCAAAAATGATACTGGAATTGGAATTAAAGTTTCCTAAAAAATAAATAAAGCCTGAAAAATATTTTGAATACTAATAATTTAGAATATTTATGAATAATTTCGAATATTTTTCAAATAATTCGATTGAATTTATGAAAAAACTACTATTTTATAAATAATATTTCATTAATCGTATTCGATTTGAAGTATCAAAACGAATAATTTTGTATTCGTAAATTACTAATCGAAAATTTGTTTTACGTATAATATACCAAGAATTTGCAAATTAACAAAATGACTTTTAGTTTCATAAAATATCAATTTATATTACGTCATGGTGTATTAGAAAAAAAATCAAAATTTTGTAAAAGCTGGGCCTTTTCCACATATTTAAAGCCCTATCATCCACTTTTAAAAAATCTAAATCAAAATGTCGTCGCAAGAATAAGTGATTACAATATTTGTCCAAAATTATTAGTAGAGTATCCATTTTAAGCTGATTTTCTTATTTGAAAATGGCACATTACGAAGTAAAATCCTATATTTTTTAATATTTTCTTTTGCCGGTTCATCGAAAGTTGTTTGTTTTCTTTAGAACGCATTAGGAGGGGTAGGGGGTTCGATTCTACAAACAAATTTATAATTGGGTGTGGGTACTCTTTTTAGAAGAAAAAACAAAATATTATTTAAATAAAATTCTAGAATTTACGAGAGAATTTATTTATAAAAATAATAATTAATATTAATTAATTATAAACAAAAATGGGAAAAAATAATACTTTCTGAATGTCGGAAAAAAAGGAAAAGGCAAGGATGGACTATGGCTGTGCGGAAATTATTAAATTATATATTCCTGTCCTGATATGTATGTTATTGGTGATCATCAACCTTAAAATAGTAAACACATTTCTGACTTATTTTAAATAATAGATTTGGCAAAAAAATGAAACATTTTGACTTCAATAACCAAAAAGAAAATGGTTTCTTTTGTATAAAAATTTAGATAGATTGGTTCAGAGTTAAAGATGTTTACATATTATACACACCGTTCCACGAGGATACAAAAGTAACTACAACCTTGATATGGCACTCCATAGCAAATACCACTATATTTCTATCGGTAATTATCATCATGACATTCCTAATAGTATTTCTTTATAAAATGGGATGTCTGAAAGTAAACTCATGAATAATACATTGATTTTTATAATTTAATATATCATGTTGCATAATAAAACCTATATAGGTAAGGGTAGGAATGGTGGGACCACATGGGCGCTTTTGAAGCGTGTTTTTTTAAGAGAAGTTCAAACTAAAAAAAAGAATAAATTTATCCATTTTAAAATTATTAGACATATAGACATGTGGTAAGGCTAAAATGCGTTTTATTAATGTATGTATTTTTTAATTTGGATATAATCTGCTATTTAAATTGCGAATTAAAAGAAGTTTTTAAAAAAGTAGCGTTGTTCAAAATTGACGCTACATTTATGGTAAACGCGATCGCTCAAGCGATGCGAAATTAACAGCCGATTCATCAGTGTTGAAAAATACGTGACCAGCTGTTGCGACATCAGCATTTCGCACAGTATTTATAAATTGTTCCAATTATTGGCTTGATTATATAAAATACCAAGCGTATAATTTCGCATCGCGCTATAAATGAAGCCTGAGGTGATATTGAAAATTTAAAATAATTATTGAATCGCGAAACTCTTTCTTAATAAGACATTTGAGTCAAATATAGACATACGCCAATTTGAGTGTAATTTCGAAATTTATTATTTGCGATTCAAACACTATCAATATCAACTCACATATTTGAAGAGTCACTATAAGGTTTTCAAATTACATTAAAAAAATATATTTTATATTTTGTTATTAATCCATCTTTTTAAAACAAAAATGTACATAAAAGGCCATTAAGTGTCTGTTAATGACGTCGACAGTGATGCTACTTTTTTTCATGGTTTACTTTTATATCGGTGAACTATTTAGGGCTTTGAATATACCAATCGACTATATTACCGCAGTCGTAGTGGTATGGAACAATGCGATAACGGGAATATTGGCAATTTTGTGGAAAGGTTTTGTTTAACCCTATATATGTGTCATCTTGGGATACAGAGTCCTTCAATTTTAAAAAAATTTACTGAAAGTAAATTTCAGTAAATTTCAAATCAACCGGAAATGGATTCTTAAATATATAGAGCAACCACACTGTGGATTTCAGATAATGTTGCCTATAACTTTTGAATTATTTTAAATTTACATCAATTTTTATATATATTTTCGTATAAAATTAAATAATACTCAAAGATTCATGACAAAAATTTTCGGAAATTTAGTGTAGGTATTCTACACGTGCTGGGATGCATTTCTGGTCAAAGAAATCTTTGAAATTTATAAATATTCAGTAAAATGATATAGGAGTTTCCGTCCTCATGGTTTCCATATCCCAATACGAATATAATATCAAATTTTTGTTGTTTGATATTCAAGACCGTGCTTTGCCTGATTCGCTGAAATTTTCCAGGGTTGTCAAATTTTAAAAAAATTAACATATTTTTTTCAAATAATCGTTATAATATTAATTAAATAAATTTAATAATTCATATTAAAATAAAGGTATTTAAATTTTAATTGTAAGAAAATCCATCCCATATTTTTTAGTATTCATAAAAACTTTGATTTGAAAAGTATCATAACAAATTCTTTATTAATTCCTATAATTTATTCCATTCAAAATAATTCTTACAACTATCAATTTATATTCTTCTAATTCTATTCTCTATATTAATGAATGATTTAATGGCTTCTTTATAAAAACATGTTGATAGTAAAGCGACTGAATTGAGTTCGAGAATCGCTAAGTAAAAATAAAACACTCGGTAAAGAATGTGAACGACTCATAGATAAGGAAAATAAGCTTTAGCAGCGGTACAGCATTAAGTATTAAAAAAAATTAATTTCGAATTTTAAGACTTAATGATAGAAGAAATGATTTTTTTTGGCACTATCGAAATTATATTAATTGATATGCTCTTAACAAGAGAAAACTTTAACTGTCAATGTAAAATACTATAATTTAAAATATCGTAAAATAATTTGGTTGGAATATATACCTTGGGCCATTTAAATTTATAGTGTATTTTAATCTAATTACGAATATTTTTAAAAATAATAATATAAGTCACAAATCATTAAAGATTTTAATAGAAGTTTTTGTCTTCTACATTTTCTTAGTTTAAATAATGTATCAATACAATCCTAGGAAATCTGAATTCTAAATAGGGCCATTTTGCTCCGAGTCGTCAAAAGCACGGTACTGTTGATATTTAATATTAATAAACAAAAATTGTAAATATACGGGTAACCCAAAAATTTATTACGCATTAATGCCTGTGCATTCATTTATGCTTCTTCAGGTCCTCTTGTGCTACAACAAGCTTACTTGATATTCGATTGCAGTCTGATGGCTTTGGCTTTCATAAAGTTCCTCCCGGAATGGACAACTTGGGTGGTACTCTTAATGATATCCGTTTGGGATTTAGTTGCCGTACTATGCCCCGGGGGCCCTTTAAGAATTCTGGTGGAAACAGCTCACGCCAGGGGAGAAGACTTAACTAAACTCCCTGCAATGGTTTACAGCTCTATGTTGTATCCTCTTATGTCTACCTCTAGCATTATTTGCGATCTAGCACAACATTACGGCACGATGACAATTGATAAGGGCCAAATAAATAATCAGGTTTGAGATGAGTATTTTTTTGTCACTAGAAATCGTTAAACGTTAATATGAATAACTTTGCTATTATAGGTCTGAGCCTTTGGTTATCAAATACAAGCGAATTAAACTTTTTAAATAAAATCATTATTTCAGTAAAATATTTTTATAAAAATTTCACGTTATAGAATGCAAAAGAACCAGCAGATTCAAAAAAGTCTGGCGAGATTCCAGCTCAAGATAAAACGGCATCAGATTCCAATAACTCCTTACCTCCAGAAGAAAAAAGTAAATCGAGCTCATCTACGGTAAATAACAAATACGATAGTGTTCCGGATGATATCAACAATAGTGACTCGGATGAGAATAATAGCCCATTAAACAACTCCAAAAATCGCGACGGCGAAATCATTAAAAAAATAGCAGTTAAAAAAAGTGCGTCCGATTATTCTTCAAACAAAAGATCAGTTCCGGCGAATAATGATCAGGGGGAGAATCCCATCTTAAACGAGTCGCCCACAGGAGGGGTAAAAGGAGCCAAACTGGGTTTAGGGGATTTCGTTTTTTACAGCGTTTTGATAGGCAAAGCAGCCGTAACAGATGATTGGACCGTCATTATCGCTTGTATATTGGCCATTTTGATCGGTCTTGGTTTAACTTTGGTGTTGCTAGTTATGTTCAAACAGGCCTTACCAGCGCTTCCTATATCGATCATCCTTGGTTTGATGATGTATTTTGGGTTCTATTATATAACTAGCCCCTTTTTGGACAAATTAAGCGAAAATAACTTTTTTTTATGATTACTACTTTATAACCATGATGCCTCTAATAATACTTAATTTTAATATCAAAATTAATTTTAATAAAATGTTTCGCATATTTTTATAAATGGTATATATACTAAAGATAAAATTGTGATTTTTTTTTAAAATATATTTTCTACTATGTCTTAATTATTAAATTTGTTTGTGGATATGATATAATAAATAAAAACATGACAAAAATAATTTTATCTAAATCATAAACAATAAAAAGATTGCAAGACAAAATAATTCAAAAGATAAATAAGTTCCACATTAGAATCATGTATGAAAGTAGGTTTTATATACATATATATTCTATATTTTGCTTTTCCGATTGCAAGAGACAACTAATAGTTTTTATCCTTATTATTTAATAGATAGGTATTAGAGCTAGTAACACAAACGTAAAAATAACTTTAAGGCGCTGACGATAACTGAATAGCGTCCATAATAAAGTGTTGGGAAATCATTTTTTTGACGACTTTTTATTTTAAAAATATTTCTTCTAGTGCCCCCTCCCCTCAATCCACTCAGATTATGGCCTAGCTAACTACTGCACTTTATTAGATATAAAATAGCATAAAAAAAGCAAAATGTACTCTCAATATGTAAGTAAAATAATTCAAAATTCCTCATATACATACAAAAGTAATGGTAAATAGTTCCACTAAACCTTTATTTATTCAAATATTCCCCCCCCCCCTAAATTTCATTCTCTTCGCGATAATCTTATTTAGCCAATAGTTAAGTAAATAACAAAAACAAAATTGATAAGTCATTTCGTCAATCTATACAAAGTTCCCTCAGCTACGTATTCCAGTAGTCCGTCTTTAACCTTGATTTCGAGGAATTTTTGCAAATCGGATATTAGGAATTCGCTGCCCGCCTTTTGCGATTTAGCTAAGACCGGGAGCTGTTTCATGAAAATCTTGAGAATGGAAAACATGCGTTCTAGAGTTAGGCTTTCCATGTTTGTTAGAATATTTTTAATGTACAACCAAATTATCTGTAAAATATTTTTAAAATAAAAAATTAATATTTTATCCCAAAATATCAAAAAATCAAATTCACAAAATTTTGAAACTTTTAATGGAAATAAATAAGCTAATTTAAATATAAAAATAAAAAAGATGTCCAAAATGTTTAATATACGATGTTATTAAAATTTCAATATTTACGAAACATTTTTTAAATGGTTTTGGCCAATCTGAACTTTATATATGTTATTTAAAAAGTGTTTTAGAATTAGTTTTCCGTATATTTTAGAATTATAAATAGAAGATGTACCTCCGTTTTTTAACCAAACACTGGCGTGGCCGAAGAGGGTACAAATAGTACTTTTTAAAAAGAAAAAAAAACCTGATTTCGAGTGTTGTTTATGGTATCCGATGGTATTTCTTCATCTTGGTTTCCCGCTTTATCTTCCCCTTCAATGGAGTTATAATTCTCGTCGCTGCTATTCATATTTATAATGTTCCTGGAGGAACAAGTGGAAAGAAGAGCGGAATGACTAGCATCCCTAAAATCAGTTGATTTTTCGGAGAAATGTTCATCGTCCGCTGAAAGGTAACAATCCTTTTCCGTTTCCTGGATTTATAAATTATATATAAAATATAACTTTATTTTCTTAATTTTCCTTCTTTTATTTATTCATTCATTTCTTACTTTTATTTCTTATTTTATATTAAAAAAAAATACCAAATTACTCAACTATAATCAAGCCTTGATTGATCCAAAAATTGATTTTCCTTTTAACAAGCGAATGAGGCACACCAAGTGACGACGCGATTTTTTGACCGGTCAAAACGTTTTTGCGTTTTATCATGTGATTCTCGTTATTTTCTTGTTCGTTATTGTATGAATAGCTTGTGGAAGGCTGTTTAAAAAAAACATCTTTTATTCTTTATCCCGTCTCTCGTATTTAAATCAAAATCATGAAATTTTTTAGATATTTTTTTGATTGAGAGTAAGGATAAAATTATAATTTTTTTCCTATATCATATCAATAATTTGATACCGAATAAGTTAAAATAATAATTATGAAAAGATAATAACATCAAGTGTGGCGGGTGATTTAACGCTAGGACGATAACGGGAGGATTAAGTCCTTATAAACTAAGCCTAGACCACGGTCAGTTTATAAAAAAATAACGTTAAAGTCACCCTTCATTTAATCCCATATTCTACCTAAAGTTGCTCAGATGCTAAAAATTTTATAACGTTCGGGGAAAGTTTTAAACCCCGGAAAACAATTATCCAGTAAGGTAGAAATCTTTTTACTGTTCATTCCTTAGCTTTATTGGGAGTAGGGGGGGGGGGGGGCTGTTGCTAGATCTCTAATGAATTTTATTGATTTAAATGTATCCAGTAATCTTAATTGTTAGCTAGAAATTATAAAAATAAAGCCATATCCAAATGTATTAACATCAATGAAAGAAGAAATTATTTCTATAACAGTGAAATAACTTTAAATTTATGTAATTCTTTAAAGACTTATCCTTTATGGTCTAGTATTATGCAAACACATTATAATTATGGACAAGCTACACATAAAATGTTGAAAGTTATTTTAATAATTTGAAAAATAGAACATTTAAGTTCGTATTACTTATGGATGTTGTAATTTTTTTGCAAGCATTTTGAAGAGATAAGAGGGTTGCGTACTATCGCTGAAGCATCCCGAATCTTTAATATAGGAATAATACACTGTAGAAAGTATACCACAAGAAACAGAATTTACAAATTTCTAAATTTAGCAAAAAAAATTTAATTGAGAAAGAAATGTCAGGTGATAAAGATTAATTAATTGAAAATTAGAAAGTTTAGAGATAAACCATCCATAAAAAAGAAACGACTTCATATTATGGAGATACCCTAAAAAATTACATTTATAAAGGTACCAAAATTAAATTAAGCTTGTTGAAAAACGGAAATATTACCACATTGAATAGACCCTTAAAACTTGGATCTAGTATATATATTATAATGATTAATACATGTCCTTTTGATAGTTTATCACAAACAGTAACAGTAGCTTACTGCGATAGCAAATTATATGAAATGTTTTTGATAATTTAGAAAGTAATATATTTAAAGAGTTTATAGAATATTTTGCTTAGCATGGTGCTAATAATAATATGTTATGAATGTATTAATTACGAATGTGTTTATTATCGCTAATATGTTTTAATCGATCAATTTACTTTTTTTGTTATTTTTCTTGTTATTAATTTTCCTTATTATTCAAATGTTTTCAATTACAATAATACTATATATATCATTACAAACTGATGAGAAAACATATAATTTTTTTTTACTTGTAATGTTCCAAATTTTATAGGGAAAAAATAAACGTTACTTTTGACTTTTACTGTCCAAAGATTGTTTTCATTAGTTCTTTTAAAGTGATTTCAGTTGTGATATTATTGGAAATTTGCTGTGTGCATCTATTACTATTAACCAAAATTTTTGAAAAAAAGGTCCCGTATAGTATATATGTATCCATTCGAAGGGTTTCGAAGTTGTAACCCATGGGAGTTAGATAAGTGATTTATTATTATAAATGTTTGATAAAATCAAAATTAGTAATGATTTGTATAGATTGTCTTTCTAAAACAATATATTATATTATAGAAAGATGTTTTAAAGATACATATAGTGTAACCGATATTTTTAAATGTATTAATACAATTGTTCTAGATCGGAGAATTTCTTAGAAATCATATGTTGTTTACCATAAATTCTAGAAATAATAAATAATATAGGTTTTGAAAGTTTGGATATTTTAATACAAGATACATTATCTCTTTTAACATTCTGTAAATCGGGTAAAATGATGGACCTCTTATCCTTAGTCCATAAATACCTATTTCAAGAACAAATTAGACAGGCGTAGCAGATGGGAATATATTTTATATTTAGAAGCACATTGTCCTGATGTATTATTAATGAAGGCATCAAACCAAATTTGAAAATTTTTAACATTATCACAATGTTACACATTGGATATATAATTTAAGTTAAAAAATAATTATGTAACTTATTAGAAGTCTATATTCTTACATATCATTGATTTGAGAGTTTATTATATATAACGCATATTGAATCTAACCGAAATTTCAGAATTTGATCCTTACTTTCTTCAAATCATTTCGCCAACTTGAAGCTTTTAAAATGGTCATAACTCAATAATAGTTAGTGAGAAGGATATTTGGTTTAGAGAATATTAAATCTCAAATTAAATACTAAATAATGGTAAAGTTTCAGGACATATTTTCTTATTTTCGGTTTTGACAAAGTGCCAACACTTTCATATTTTGCTTATAACTCACTAACGGTTAATCTCGCTGCTGTCAGGTTTGAAGATCAATTCGGATCCATTAACAGGCCACACAATAGTATAAGTTTTGGTAATTGATCCTTAAATCGTTTCGCCAACTTCAAAATTTCACACTTTTCTTATATAGCTTAAAACTTACTAACCTTTGATTTCGCTGGTGTCTGGTTTGAGGATCAATTAAGAGTCTAAATATTGGAATAAATTTTAGAATTTGATCCTCAAGTAGTTTCGTCAACTTCATGGACCTAGGAAAACAACATACCAAATTATTAGTTTTAAAAGCATTTTAAAAGCCTCAGCCAGGCCCAGCCCGTAAAAAACTTGATACAATTTATCCTGTCCGAAAGCGCGGCAGTCTTAAAATCAGCCAGAATTCAAAACCTAAAAAGACGTTATATAAAAGGGTCTTATATCTCTAAGATGTGCACATAATTGGAAAAAGTTTTACATACTTTAGCATTATATGCTATGCCACAGACAAATAATCGGGAAAAAGATTATTTTAAAATTTAAGTTCGGACATACCCCTAATAATAGTATACTTTATACCAATTATTAATATTAAAAAAAAATTGGTAAGAAATATAAAAAATGGCCACATTTTATAATGAATGCCAAAAATTAATTTCAGTGAGTAAAATAATCATCTTCAGCATATGTTATCATTTCTCAAAAATAAATACCCCATAACGCCTTAAAAATTTAAGCACAAATAACAGAATAGTTTTTATCAACCGTATGAAGAGGCAACTCTTATTAGGTCGAAATAGAGTTGGTATCTATCAAAATCTTACCTCATATGGACCTCCTTACTCCTTCACATTAGTAAAAAATGGTGTTAATAAGTATAATTAACAAAACCTTCTGTTCAACGTCGACATCCATCCCGGACCCCATAACAGATCCCGAATAATATTTCGATTCTTCTTCGCATTTATCTTCCTCGTGGAACAAGCATACGATGCAAGCAAGTAATGGAGTCACATTGTAACGAGTAGTTTTGAACCTTCCGTCCCTGCGTCTCATAGTTATATCCAGGCTTACCTTGCCAAAGTGCTTCTTGTATTCTAGTATTCTGTGCTCCTTTAAAAATTAATAAGTAAAAAAAAAATTAATCTTTCAATCTTTATATGTATTTCGCGTATTGATTCATTATTTTCTTTAACTTTATGCTTGGCATATGTTCGTCCATAGAGTTCCAAAGCGTTCATTATTTCCTTAGGCAAGATCAAATCCTTTAACTGACTTTCGGGCCTATTTCTATCACCGAGGGTAGAAGATTCCTGCATCATGGGAATGTTGTGAGGCCAAAATTCTTTCGAGAATATCAAAATATTTAGTTGGGCACCTTTCGAGAATATGCCAGTGTTTCCCTTTTAACAAATATTTTCGCAAAAAAATAAAATATTAATATTTAAAAAAAACATGATAAATATTATAGTTTTTATGGATGATAAATATTTTTTTAAAAAAATTAGACATATTTTTTAAAAAAAGTGAATAATTATGCAATAATCTCATGAAACTATAACAAAAGGCCTTCATGGTGTATAAAGAAAATAATAGACTCTAATGTATGGGAAAAAATTTCTCGAGTGGCGATGATAGATATTGCCTTGAGAAACTTAAACTGACTAATCGGAAACGGAAGTTAGAAGATCGATGAGTATATTTTGGCGTCAAGAGAAAGTACAACATACTTAGTCAGTATTCATTTTATAATTGAATAATTCTATATAACGATGCAAAATCGCTCCATTTGAGACGATTTTTTATAACGGTTAACTCAATATTTTAGTCAGATAAAAATTGCCCAAGCTCCAGGATTTTGCTAATAGATGTAAAAACCTTTGTGCCATCTATAAGTAAAATCTTGAGTCTTGTGTAATATTTTCTGGACAAAATGAGTCAGCCGTTTTTTAAATCGGCTCAAGTGGGGCGATTTTGCATCACTAATTCTATACTTTAGCGATTAGGAGGGCATCAACGTCATTGGGGCTAAGAGAGTCAAGAGGGCCCCGTTTTTTAAACTCGATTTAAAGTGAATTACAAAATGCAAGTCTGAAAAGATACCATAAAATTAAGAAAATAATGTGTCATTTTAAAAAAAAACACACACACATTTTGAATCATTTCTTGTAAGAATTCGTTGTCCCCATGGATGATCTTGTTTAAGATGCTAGTTTCGGAGGCATCCTTTATTATGACCTGACAATTATCCATATGCGCTTCACCTTTGTTTTAATTATATGTTTATAAAAAAAATTAAATTGGTAAAGGTTTAGAAAACTTTGTCAATAATTGGGTAACAAACGTCATTCAAAGAACTGTTTTTTTTCTAAATAGTTAAATAGGAAAAATTAAATGAATATCACTCATAAGAATCTAATACATATTTTTTCTTTTAGAAAAAAAAAATTATATTCAATCCTAGTTTAGAATATTCCTAAGTCTCATTTATCCATTTCCTCTTATTCTTAGTTAAATGATCTCTTATGAAAGTTATGAGCACTTAGGTATGCAAAATGGTAGATCTTTCCAAAAAGATGTATCAAAAATTACCGAATCTTTCTTTCAACGAACTCAAATATCTCGTTTCCCGATTGGCGAATTCTTTCAAAATTTCGAAGTTTTTACCGCTCCTGTAAAAGACTGTAATGACTCTACGGGCCAACTGATCTATGTATTCGCGGGCAAATTCGGTCAAATGGCCGTAAACATGAAGCAGGGCCTCGCTCGCTCCCATTATGCATTTCGGGATTTCATCAGGATCAATATTCTTATCGGCATTTTGGGAAGAAATTCGATTAAACCGTTCTATAAAGTCCATTTCACCGACTTTAAAAAAAAACTTTAGTCGTATGGTTTAGAATATTTTTCTTTACATATTAAACCTCATTAAATATGTTTTTAAACGGTATAAACATTATATTCTTTATTACTCCGGATTCGATAGGTTGCTCATAAATCGGTCTTTGTTTGGTCTTTGGCTTCAAAATGCTCGAATAAACATTTTAAATTTATGAACCCGAATTCGGGACCCTGTATTTTATGTTAGAATTAAGATTTTATATTAAGCCTAGCCCATGCCCATAGACTTGTTAAACTTTAGTAAATGATCTAATAATATTTATTTTATTTTTTGTATCCAAAATTTAATCTTTTTTAAAAAAAGAAATTATTAATAAGGTCTTTATCACCTCTTCGCTCTCGAAATCTTGGACAATTACTTTAATATTGTCTTAGGGTATTTTATGTTTAACTGGTTCCCATAATTTTATAATTTTATAAAAATAATAAATTTGTATGTTCATTTATAGTTATTATCAAATATGATATACATAATTTAACAAATGACATTTTTATATAAAAAAAATTGAATGAATGCATGCCCGCACTTTTCCTCATAGGTATTAAATAGTAAAATCGTTTGTAAAATAATAATTTTTATAACTAAAATGTTTTATTTATAGGGTGTGTCCACAAAATTTTATTTATTTTTTGACTTTGGACGCACCCTTAAACTTTTTATTTGAAGTCTTATGGTTCAGATAACATATGTTAATCCCATTTACCGATTAAAAAAAATAATATTAGGGAGGGTGCCAAATGTTCGGTTAATCACTCAGGCTTAAACAAAACGTCAATGTTCGTATGTCAAAGTGAAGAATTCAAAATTGAAGTATTTAATAGCGATAATATAAGCCTAAATTATATTTAAGAATGTTGAGATTCCATTCAATTTACTAACAATATCTAAAAGGCATATATTTCGAACCGAATATATTACTTTATTTTTAAATGGCAACTTGATTATCAGATTTAGGTGCTATTTCATATGTATAAATCATAATGTATCTTTTTTTCTACAATTATACAATAGTGAAAAATCAAAAGTAGGAAGAAATATATATAAAGTTTTTACATCCATTCGGATTTTCTAATTCCTTTACATTTCCAAGTATAGACGACACTCTTTACTTGCCCAAATGTCATATCTTAACATTAGTTTCACTGTTAAATGCTACTGGCCGTAGTTATACATTGTCGTCACAAGAAAGTAAATGCGCTACCGAAAAATTAGAATCCTTTGAAAATGAGTTTAAATTTAAATTATATCAATTTTTTTAATATTTAGGGCGCCATATATGAAATGCACAAGATTCTGTTTAATATATTCAAGAACTCGAAACTTAATTGAACATATTTTTTTAATATTTATTTAAATGTTATAGGGCAAAATTTTTTATAATAAATTATAAATAAAGTAATAAATTGAATTTCTTTTATCGATAGACAATTTCTATAATTGAATGAAAGCCCCATTTATTGTTATTTTCACTTACAAGATGAATAATCCTTTAAATTATATCAAATAGTTCAAGAAAAACCATTAAAAACTGATTAATATATAATTTTATACAAAGACGCCCCCTTCCGGGAAAATATTTATACACTTTTCTAAACATTTTTATCGATTTTGAGAATGAAGATGGCCGCGTCCCAGATTAATTTTTTTTTATAAATATAAAGGAAGAGTTTAATAATGTCTACTAAATTTTTTAAAAAAATTGAAGGTCGTATTATTTCCGAAAAATCGTTTTTAGTCCTTATATATTAAATAAAATGACCGGAAATTGGAAAAAAAAATAAAAAATTTTTTTTATCTAAAATTAGAATCTTTGTACGTAATTTTGATATTAAATTTGTTATTTACAATTATGTAGTTTTTAAGATATGCTTAATTGAATGAAGGCAGATAATGGTAAAAATACGTCATTTTTGCCACTTTGAACCCTAATATCTTCAAAAATATAAATGTTAGGAGGCTAAAATTTTGGCTATTTCTTAGTTACATTGACCTTTCTTTGCTTACCAAATTTTAAAAAAATCGAAGGGGGTCGGCCGAATCGTGGTTGATTTGTCATGGAATGACCCACCTAAAATGGACAATATTATATATAAATCTCGGTATTACAATGAATAATTGATTTTGAAAATGATATATGGCGTCATGAAATGAGCTTCGATCAGGATTGACTATTTAAACCGACCAAATATAATTGGATCAAATGACCTATATTGTCAGGTCAATGGTCAAAATTCAATTATTCGTTTTAATAACGATATTTTAATATTAATAAGTACCAAATACGCTACATAAATGAATGTAAAATATAATTGAATTCTATAATATTTTGATGGATTTCGTTTGAAATGGCAGTTTGTTTAATGATCCAATTGAGGTTTAATTTTTTAATTTATATCATAAGTTATAACAAATTTTCCCGTAATTAATATATTTAACCGATTTCGGGTGTTTATAAAGGCCCCATATAGACTAATTTCATGTTTTTTAAAAAAAAATTCCTCTTGCAAAGGGCGTAAATTCCTAACCACCAGTTTGATGCCGACAGCTGATTAATGTTTATAGACTATATGGCATTCTACACATTACGCATTATTTTAATGTTTTTACAACTAAAGAACATTACATCAACTAAATGGCTTGAATATCGCCACCTGCCAGAAATCCTGGTTCTATTGTATCGCAAATTTCATAGCATTATTCTGTAGGTCTTAATTTATCTTTCTTATTGAAGATATTAGTAGCATTATCGGCAGTTGTATTGACATTTTTTTAAACTTATTTCAAACAAGTTTTCAATTTTTTTTCTTTTTATTCCCCAATGGGACATAGCTCGATTGAATATGCTGTTCTTAATTATTTCTTTACGTGGGTCAACATAAAAATTTCTTCCTTATTCATAACAAAGACATAGTAAGGGTGGAAGTATATTTTAAAAAATTTAAATTTCTTACCCAAGATTTATTTTCTAAGATGTTATCATTTTATTTATCTTGTGCATATCATAAAGAGTTTATTCAAATATGAATGCTTTAGAGCTCCTTAGCAAATTTGAAACTGCTGCAACACTTTATAAAGGGAGCAAGCCAGTGAGTTGATTTCTATAGTGAAATACAAAGCTTTAATTAATAGAGGTCTCGCCATATGTTTTGAAAAGGGTGTTATAAATGTGATGTATTCTTTTACATCTTTATTAGTATTTTTACTAATATGAAATGAATTTGCTTGCGAAGGAAATCTTAGCTTTTATTAATGTTAATTCATCCTATCAAAGTGTGTGACAATAATTATGTGATACATTTAATCACAAAAATAATTTTTGCCAAAAACTTAAAGATTTTAATCAAAAAAATATTATATACCTCAAGATTACACAATAGCCGAAAGGTTTGGCCCACTATTTTTTTGGCTAAAATCTTGATATCACCGTTTTTAAACCGAATAAATGGAAGGTTTTGATAATACTATACAGAAAATCAACATTTTAGAGTATAAAACAGATGCGATGCGCAAATGCTTTAATGTCATAGTACGTATCTTCAAGGGCATCTCGATAAAAAGCTTCCTTTTTTTTAAAAAGTAAAATAAAATTTTGTAAACTTTGGACGAGGTCAAAGTGTTTGGGCACCGCGTATTTGGGGAGGGGTCTAAGGAGGGACTCATTTTGATCGTCCAATCCTTCATCTTCTTCTTCTTTTCCTACAAGAGCGTTCTCCTTGAGTCGTAGTAAAGGAGGTCTTCTAATACCGCTCGGATCTTCCAAACCAAAATTAGTCATATTTCTACCTAGAAGATTGCAATTATCAGATATATCTTCCCTGGAGTGGGAGGAACCGTCATCGAGTTGATCGGCAGGAGAATGTATTAGTTTATCATTTGATTCTTTTTTTTAATAAAGGAATTAATTGATTGATAACATAATTCTTGTTTTTTTTATACAAATGCTTAGCCCTCATTCATAGTTAGAGCGAATTATACAAAATATGCGGTATTTTTTGTATTCTCCGCCGTGAATTCGCTCTGACTGTCTATGCAGGGTAACTCTTCATTCACAGTAGCATGGATTCACGGTGAATTACACAAAAAATGCTGTATTTTTGTTACTTAGCCGCGAATTCGCGCTGTGAATGAAAGGTTACTCAGTCTAAATTTTATATTTACTTTAAGGCTCCATCTTCCCTTTTATCATATTTATATAAATATATTCCTCCAAAAAAAATATACAGTGTTACATTTTATTTTACCTTCATTCGATTCGGATTCATTGTTTACGGGTAATTCTAATTCTTCCCTTTCAGTTTCTATTTCAACATTTTCTTGGTCTTCGACGTTATCATCAAAATCGAGATCTTCGTCCTCTACAGAGGCGAGAGACGCTACTATACACTTTATGGTGTCAGATCGGTGTCTTTATATAATAAGTATTTTGTTTAGATGAGAAGGAAGGATAATAAATATTAGAAAATTTTTTAGTGTAAAGAAAAAAAATATATTAATAATAATTTACAAATTTAAATAAATAAAAAATCTTGCTTTATTTAACAAGAGTTTCTTCAAATACAATAAATATTTAGGATTATACAATGAGTTAAACATATGGCCGACACTAAAAATTTTAAACAATGCTCAGAATTTTATTCTACTAAAGGTGACCCATTTTTTTCAACAACGGTAAAACCTGTCAATTTGGGCTATGCTGGGACCAAAATTTTTGTACAACTTAGAATGTTGTCCAATTTATCAAGTTTTTATTTTCTGATAATAGTTTATAGGAATTTAGTTGGGACTTAAAATTTTGACAAAATTAGGAAGTTGCACAAATTATAGAATTTTAAATTAGACAACTTTTACTGTATATAAACCAGGATCATGGAATGGAACGTTCCGTGAATGAAACTTTATATATTATTTATAATTTTTTCAACCAGTTTTTTGATTAATTTTAGACTTGTTAAATTGAGATCACGCAAGACCTGGACTTTGAGGGACTATAACTCCATGTACAAAATTTTTTTTCATGAATGAAATTCAAAATACTGGTAGATTTCACATGGAATAGCCAAAATACCTTTTCTTAGTTACATTATTATATGCTTTATCTATAATTTCTATCTTCTTTGTGTAATGTTTAGTAAATAAAACATTTAAAAAAAGGGAAAATTAAGCCTTTTTATTTTTTGAATGAAGTGTAATTTAACATTATTTTAATGTTAAAATTTTATGATTATAATTTATTTTATTAAATTTGAAAGGGTTAAATGCAGAAATATTATATCAAGGTTCTTTTTTATTACAACTATTTGTAGGTAATAAATTAGTTACAATAAGTAAGTCTGGAATGGTTGAGATATGATTGAAAGCATTGAGGGATCAAGGTATTTTATGGTTTTGATAGTTGATAAATAGGCTGTTAGAATATCATTTGTTTGTACTCCTATATTATTTTTTAAGATAAAATATGACTACATCTAAAACTTAAAAAATTTTTTTATAAGTAATAATATACTAAGATATAAGCAAATCGAATTTGGGTATAGGAGATATATTATATAATCAAAAATAAATAGGATTTTTAATAATATTTCATTTTTATTAATATTTTTGTTATTAATATTTTGATTTTGTTAATAATTATATATTTTTATATTCAACTTTTATTACCTGATTGCAAAAGTTTAGTTTCAATTTGTGATATCATCATTGAACATAAGGAATCAAAATCTAATCCCAATTTGTCTAAAAAGATATTTTTTTTTCCAGAAATGATTGTTTTCAGGTCTTTTAATACTGGCAAAGAATTTGGATATTCTATAATTAATCTAAATATCTTTTTAGAAAATGAATGTTATATTAATAATCTTTCAGATATAAATATACTTGATTAAATCTCATTTTAACATAAATTTGAAAAATGTGCTGCAATAATTTTTGGTCATGATTAAAATAAAATTCTTCCCCATAGGAATTTTCATTCTTTCCAAAGAGATAGACTACATTACTGAGTATGTTATTTTTTATCTAAAATTACGAAATTGACTTAAATTTTTTATAAAATTATTTTTACATTGTCTACATTTTCTAGGAAATTAATTGTAACATTGTTTTGATATCTTTTATGTATAAAATCATCAACACATTTATATAATTTATCAATAAATAAATTTTCATATAAATCCCACAAATTTACATTGAAACTAAATTTATAATAATTACTAAATATGAAAAGGTGTACTTTACATATAACAGATAATTTGTTGTATCTTTTGTACCTCTTTATCAACTTTACATAATTCATCTATATTATTATAAAAATATTGTTTTCATATATAATTCAAACTTTCATGTAAAACTATATCTTTGATAATTGTTGAAAATATATTACCCAGTAAAGGGCTTATTAGATATTCATATTTATTTAAAACTTCTTTTAAATATAATATTTCATAAGTTTTATCATTATTAGAGCTCTCAAAGTAATTTAAAATATTAAAAATGAATTGAGTAAAAGATTCAATCTTTTTGGTTTCTAAGTTTTTTTGTTTCAAAATTTTTATTAAATCGTTTATTTGAATTGTAATTAAGTTTATAAAAAATTTATTTATTTTAATATCTAGGTCTTCACAATTCACATTTAAAAATTCAAACATTTGATGAATGAATTTAAATGTTGTAACATATGTTAACTTTTATTACTGGAGGGTAATGATTAGTATAATGGAAAATGATAGCTATGAGAAGGTTCTCTATTTTTTAAAACTTATATATTAAAAATGGCATAATATATAAATCTATATTAAAATAACATTTTTTTTAAAAATTAAAATGACATTAAAAAAATTAAATAAAATAAACAATTAAGACAGAAATAAGTTTCTAAAAATATGAGGGAGGGGACAAAAAATGGATATCAGTGAGATCCAAAGAAACTAATATAGTTACACATAGCAATTTGATTATAACATTTTAAAAGAGGATCCATCATGATCATTAATTTAAAAAATATTTTATAAATATTCTTAAAAAATGATAGCCTAGTGGGCTTAGGGACCCATTGGTAGAAATTATTGGGATAAAATGAAAATATGAAAAGTCTTAGTACTTTATAATTTTTGACCTTTCAATTGTAATAATTGAGGCAATGTTGGGGCCTTAGGAAAATTGGAAGAGACAAGTGAAATCCCAAATAAGGTGTTTTCTCCTAAACCAAAAAATGCGTGTGAGCACATCTCGTCTTTTCCCGTAAGACACAGACAAGTGAATGGGTTTAAGGTTAGGGTAGTTGGCCAATTGTAATTTATTCGAGATTATAGAGTTAAAAGCTGCGACTGAATCGACTTTTCTTAGACCATATCGGCCCTTAGGATTGGAGTCTTTCTAGTACCCTTTGCATATATGGGGTAGACATAGGTCGCAGCCAAGTCTATATCATATGGTTACCCTCAGTTCCGTGTTGGATAGAAAAGATTGGTAGTGAATATTATGCAATATTGCTTCCAATTTAGTTAAGCAAAGAGTTTTCTTCAGGCTTACTATTATGGGGATAGCATTAAGGGGATCCTAAAAGGGAGATTGACCCCGGTCATTAATCTTAAAATAATTTTAAAACCATTTGATGGGAATCCATTTAAAATACTAATATTTTTTTTATCCATACTTAAAACAAGACCAATATTTATAAATACATTAATTAAGAATGGCCTGGGCCTCAAACACATTAATCTCTGGACTGGACCAGATAGTTTACCGTTGTCCAGGTCAAAAGTTAATGTCAATTTGGACTTCTTATTATCCCCTTTTTAAATATCCTCCTCAGAATTTAAAACTTTGTCCCTAAAAACTAAGAAAAGAATTTTGACCATAACAGAAATTTATAAAATGGGAATAGTCAGGAAATCTTTCAAGATTTCAAGGAGAAGGCAGGTCTATGCAATGCATTAAGAGCCTTTTTAAGATCAACTTTACACAAAACTCAATTACTTGGATCTCCGATATAAATCCGATGAGTGAGCTACAGCCTCTATACAGCCTTTAACCCCAAATTAATTAATAATCGTCATGGTAATATATACAATCCTAATACGGTTCATTATTAACTTGGCAATTAATCTACAGAAACAGTACCCAACTGATATGTGCCTTATACCCTAATATTGCTTTGATAAAGCTATGAGACGCCCTCTCCCCAAAAGAGAATAGGAGCTATCTCAACTGGAAGGATTTCATTAACAATTTTAATACAAAATAAGGTAAAATTATTGATGAAGGGAAAAAAAATTAAGATTATTAAGGGGAAGTAATGTTAAAATAGGGATATAGTCATCAAGCCCCCATCTAAACTCCTATTAAAGGTTTTTATTTTACTGACTTCTTCACTGGTAAAAGGAGGGGAGAAATAAAAGTGGGGATCTGGTGATAGATTTGACCAGGAGCTTTGGAATGTTTTTAGTACAAAGCTGAAAGAATTTCATTATTAGATGGGGTCATATTATTATATTACGTTGCTAAATTAAGGGTCCCTGTAACAACTCCTGGGTTATTCAGAGATAAGTTTGTATTACGTAATATGATATCAGAAGGGAAAGAATTCAAATCTTCATACTTGTGTAAAACCAGAGTATGTTTAGGATCCTATTCTTAATGCACTGAATTAAGGAACAATCTTTACCCGCCTTATTGGACATTTATAGGGAAAAGTAAAGAAGTTCTCATAAGCAAGGGGTAAGTTAAAATTTTGTTTAAAGAGCAAATTATTTCAATTATTGTGAGCCTGAAATAAACCCTTCTTAATAAGGGTAATTTTTTATGATTAAAAATTAGACTACTTAGTTGCAGTAGATAATGGCATAATATGATAAAGTCTACACTGATTAATATGTTAGTCTATCTTAGTTTTTTTAATGGCGACGAAGGTAAAAATAAATAAATAATATTTATAAGAATATTTTAACCTTAAATAATGACGATACCTAAAGTGGTGGGTATTTAGTGTCATCATTGTTATGTCCTATAAATAGATTTTAATAAGCATTTTTTATTTTAAAATTTAATATTTTCAAAATTAGATATTAAAATTTAAAAAAAAAAATTATTTAATATAGATTATATATATAAAAATTTTAATAAAATAAATGAAACTCAGTCCAAACAAATATAAATAAGATGTTATTAATACATTTTAGTTCGAAGATGTCGTAATATATTTAGAATTGCAAATTGCTTAATATAAATTTTTTTTAACATTGTTTACAAAAAAAATAGAATAGGGAAGTTGTTGAAGAGAAATAAAGGTTAATAAAAAAAGGGAATTTAAATAGACGTAATAATTAAATTAACGAGGCTCACTACCAAGTGAATGTATGGAAATATTCTAAATACCAACCTAATTTGCTAAATACCAAGCAAAATTTATTAAAATGTAATACCCTTATTATTTAATATATTATAACGGAATCAAGTGGTCGAGTCCGGCCTCCTATATATCATCCGCCCAAGGATGGAACCAGCAAGTTAGATTAAGAAAAAAAACATGACCATCGCTGGGATTCGAATACGTGACCATGGGATAAGTGTGAGTAAAGCTCTTGCCTACTAGGCCATAGAGGCTTTACAAAAATCACGATTTTTCAAATATATTTTATAAATATATTTGGTAGTGCCTATCCAAATGAAAAATAAACAAAATTGAAATTTGATAGGTAAAGGTAGTAAGCATCATTAACCTAATATTTACGCGAGAAATCTTAAAATAAAATATCATCGATAGTCGTCTTTATTGTTTTATTTTATTTTAGCTACTTGCAAAATCTTTTTAAAATTTGAAATTGAGGAGTAAATTACAATATTTGAAAAGAGAGAATATACGCCATATATATGATTATTTATTAGATATTATAATTTTTATAAATATCAAGGTATCCTTTCAATATTAATGATTATTTAGATTATATAATTTGTATAAATATCAAGGTATCCTTTCAATATTAATGATTATTTAGATGATATAATTTGTATAAATATCAGTGCAATCTTTAAAATATTATATTTAAAAATTTTATAACATTTATATAAATTAAAGAAATTTTTTAACAAGATATTTATAAACACTAGCGACTTTTATTATAACAACGAAAATAGTGAGCAGAAATAGGTCAAAGACTTATCTGAGCACTGTCGATAAATTAGCACATTTGACCACAATATCACGTTACTAAATAATTTATTTATTTTGAATATTAGAAAATGCCCATACAACCCGAAAAGAAAACGAATATACAGTATTAATATGATTTGTTGTAACACATTTTCATAATGTGAAAAAACATTCTTATATAGTTAAATAGCTTTCCATAATTATTGTAAAAAACATTTTGATATAAATTAAATTTTTTAAAAAAAATTTGATAAAATTTTTAAAAGTTTTTAAACTTTAATGAAGACTAACATCAAAGTTATGAATCAAATAGTTTTTTTTGGACACAAGTTTAAATGGTAAAATGAAAATTCAAAAAAAAATTTTAATAATAAAGTTCTTAAACTTTAATGAAGACTAACGTCAAAGTTATGAATCGAATATAGTTTTTTTATGTTTTGGACATAAGTTTAAGTGGAAAAATAAGAATTTTAAAAGATATATAAGGTTAGTAAATAATAGAATATTATATTAACAAACCTGAAACTGGAGATAGATTCAAAATACTAGCGATAGTAAAATTTG